GATTGCCTGGCTGAGCCTCCTTCCGCGCCTTGCCGCGGCTGCCCTGCTCCCACTCCCGACACGCTGCCTGCCCTCCTCGCCGCCGCCCTCCCTGCAGACAGCCACGCTGCTCTATGAGATGCAGCGGCGCGGCAAGGGGGCCCGCTTTGGCGTCGTGTCCATGTGTATCGGCTCAGGTGCGGGGGGAGGGAGGAGGGTTGACGCGGGGGGAGCATGGCTGAGATGCTGCCCTTGCCGCTTGCTCAACAGCGTCGGGCACTGCCCCCTGCTGCTGCCCTGCCACGGCGAGCGGTCCCCCGCTGCTCGTGCTGCTGCTGGGGCCGAACCCACCAGCGCCGGCCGCTGCCGTGCTGTGCAGGCATGGGCGCGGCGGCGGTGTTTGAGCGCGGCGGCGAGGTGGACGATGCGCCGCGGCGCCCCGTCAGCAGCCAGCTGACCGGGCTCAGCCGGGACGCTCAGGTGTCGTGATGGGCCCCCAGCCCGACACCCTTCTGGCTCGCCTTCTGGCGCCTTGCGCCCTCGGTCGCTGCCTCACCACCCAGGACCCCCCCCACCAGGACACGTGATTGAGAGCAGTCGCCAGGCTGGAGCGAGGCAGGAGGCAGGCGGGCACTGGATGGGCGGTGCCCCGCCCTGCCCGCCTGCTCCGTGCCCAGCCCAGCTCAGCCCCCCCATGCCCGTGTAGAGTAGCAGCAGCAGCCTGCTGCCCCAGTTTTGATTCCGTCAGCGAGTAGCGAATTGAGTTTTGGCGCTGAGCAGCCTTCTTCCCTCTGTTAGCGACCCCCCCCCCCGAGGTGTTGCTGCCAGGGAGCCAATACCACCCGCCTGCCTGCGAGCCGCCCATGCGCTTGATATTCATGCATGCAGCGCTTGCCGCTGGCGGCGGCTTTGTAGCGAGAGTTTAAGAGTGTACAGGTAGCAGGAGAGAGTGGCAGGAGAATGAACAATGGCAGCAGGTGGGGTGGGGTGGGGGTGGGGGATTTCAGAACTGGGTTCGCTGCTTGGTCGGCGGTGGTCTTGGGAGACCTGCCTGCCTGCAAGTACCAGCCCGCGCTGCACCTCCTACATGGCTTTGTCTTTGACTGGTGACAAGAACAGTGACCCAATGAGCGATTGCCGTCGCCTGCTGTCACGGCGGCAGACTGCATGCCGCCCGGCGGCGCCTGCGGCTGCGGTACACTGAGGGACGCGTCCTGAGGAGTAAGCCCCAGGGCGATCTAGCCTGTGTTATTTAGCACAGTGGGTTCCAGGATCCCTGAAAACCTGTACAGAGTCGCTGCAAGGCGTGTACGTGCTCTGGGGCTTCAGCTCCCAGCAACTCCTTGCAGCAGCACACTTCTGCTGGCCATTCGGGTCCAGGAGGCGCAGGCGTACTGTCGACCGGCATCCGCAGCGCGCGCGCCTCTGCCCCTCCGGCGCTGGGACTTGGCCGCCGCCGCCTCCCGAGGCCCCCTCCACTTGCCACCCCCACTCAGTTGCCCCACTACCCCAGGCACTGCTCTTGATGTGATGAGGCAGGCCTTTAGCAGCAAAAGCTCGGCGTATGTGCAGACGGACCGGCTCGAGTATGAGGCGGGGGATACGGTGCGGGCAGTCGTATGTATCAACGTAGCTGAAACGGTGAACTGCACCAGCATCAAGTGCGAGGTAATGGTGAAAGGAATTGCTGGATGCTGACATGGTTGATACCAACATTCACCCCACGCCCCAATTACGCCCTGCCCACTGGTACCCCACCCCTGTGCAGCTCATTGGGTGTGAGACAACGTGGTGGAGATTCAACGATGCCACGAGGGGCGGCACTCATGCCTTCCTGACGGCGTCCCTGGCGCTAAGCGGTGCTCGCCGGTTGCAGCCAGGGCAGTACCAGTGGCACGTCGTGTTTGCCATTCCAACTGGGGTGCCAAGTTCGCTGCATATCGATAAACACACAGAAGGGTGGGGCAAGGCTGCCGGTGAACGTGCCTGCTTGCCTGCCTATGCCTGCCTGCCTGTTCCTGCCCAAGATTTGCTGCCATGCACGTCATTGTGCAGGGTTCAAGTCAGATACACGCTGCAAGTCACCGCTCACACCGAAGGGCGCTTCCAACGAGCCATTCGCAGCACACGGCTCATCAGGGTGGTTAACAGGGTGGTTGGCAGACAGCGTGAGGCGCCTGCAACCTCCTGCGAGCGCTCCCTGGTGTGTTGCTGGGCTGCTGGGGTGGTGGCGGATGACTGATCGCAAGGCTGCCTTGGCAAGTAGCACAGCAGCCGCCCCACCCTCACTGCCCATGTGTGGTTTGTGTTGCCTGGCTCGCAGGACGGGAAAGTCTCAGTCTGCGGCGTCAGGCGAGGGCGGCTGCACGCCCACATGCATGTGGACCGTGCCTGGTGCTGGCCGGGGGACACGGTGCGGGTGACTGTGACAGTGGACAACGAGTCCGGCAGGACCCTCAAGGCCTCGCAGGTGATTGCTCTGCGCCTCTTCGGGAGTTGGCGCCGGCGGCCTTCAGCTAGATGCAACAACGCTCCTGCAGGGCGAGCAGCTTGTGCTCATCCGCTGGCCTGCACCTGCTGCTGTGCAGCTGTTTCTGCAACAGCAGGCTGTGATGTACGAACAGCCAGGGCAAAAGATGGTGCGAAGAACAGTCCACAACTCCAACAGTATCGAAACCGGCTCTGCTAGGGTGCCAGGGCCCAGGGGCATTGCGCCCTTCACTTCTTTCGCAGGCGAATGGTGGGTGGCACACAGTGCACGATGCCGTGTTCGATGCTGCCCAAACCAATGCTGCAGCCGATCATGCCTGCATGTTGCATGGGAAACAGCATCCCGGGGCCAAGCCAGCGCCTGCGTCTTGTTGTGCGTCTTTCTTCTTGCTTGTTGTTCCTGCAGGCATGCATCCACCATGGTGCACCCAGACATGCAGCCCAGCTACAGCGGCACAATTTTCACCGTCAGCCACTTCGTGTGCATCCGCTTTAGCATGGGCTGGTTCATGATGCCTCTCATTCTCAAGGCACGGCTGGTGCTAGCTGCTTTTGGGCCGCCAGCAGGCCTTCTGCCCATCCAGCTCCTGCTGCTACTGCTGCAGCTGGCTGATGCCGTATCTGAGATGGCGGCTGCTGTTCTGCAGGTGCCCTTGCGCGTGTTGGTGGGACCTCTCTGTGCAACACTGCCTGGCCCAAGATCAGCCAAGGACGGCAAGGATGGTGCGGAGGTCTCCTTCTTTGCAGAACCTCCCGCTTTCTGGAAGCCCAGTGTGGTAGTCGGCCCGCTGGCATTGCATGTGAATGCGGCATCGCCACTGCCACCAGAAGCGCTGGTGGCAGGTGAGTACATTGCATCCAGCTGCCTTGCAAGTACCTTCCTGGCTGACCTGCTAGCAGTAACAGTTGGCTGCTGTTCACTTGCAGACGCGTCGTTCTGGGCTCGAGCCACTGGGGGCAAGTAGATCTGTGGCAGACGGTTGCACGCAGCAAGGTGGGGGTTGAGGCTGCCCGGGGGAGGCCTGGGCATCACGTGATGCAGCGCTGCACGTGCATGGCGTACGCAATGGATGTGAATTTTATCCATTGGTGGGGTGAATTCCAGCTGGCCAATTTATCGCCGTGCTTGCCATGTGTTACAGTCACCCCGCTATGATAGGCCGCGTGAGCAGACCTTGGGCAGGGGGCACATGTGATCAAGGGGCATAAGGAGAGGGGGTGGACCATGGAGCACCCTCTCCATGGCTCCAGCCACCCTCCCCCCAAGCTGAGCGTCCCAGGGTCACCCCACCCTGGGCCCACTCCCTGCACATGTAAAGGGTGCATGCACTGCAGGCAGGAGTGCATGGTGGCCTGCCGTGGCGGCCGGCTTGCCAGGAGGAGCGAGACCGTGACTGGGAGCTGGAATGACAAGTTTTTATGCTTGGCAGAATGCAAGCTGTGTGTAATGTACACTTAAGTGAGAGCAATGATACACCCTGGCCAGCGTAATTGCAACTAGTGTGATCAAGTGATTCCCTTGCGTGCGCTGAGGTCGGACACTGAGGGCAGATGATGTGGTCAGGTCCCAGGAGGCGCCACATATGGCAAGTTGGCAGGCGTGTTGGTGCCCATCAGCACGTTGATGCTCTTGACGAGGCAGGTGGGGCCACGGCACACCTGCACAAGGGGCGTGAGCAGGGTTGGCGCAAGACAGCTGCTGCAGCAGCCCTGCCGCATCCACTCGTCCCTGCACAGCCCACCTTGAGCTGGCTCAATGTGTCCTGCAGGCTGGATAAGAGGTCCTGCACACAGCGCAAGCATCAGCCCGCACGGGGCACGTCCTGTTAGTACTCGGTGGGCAAGCAGTGCCCGGCGCTTGCCCAGCAACACCACAGTCCAAACTCGGGCGGCATGTCCCTGTGCACCCTGGGGGCCTCGTCGTAAATGTTGTCAACCTCCCAGGGGTCTGAAGTAAGGTTGTACAGCTCGTATCCCTGCAGTACAAGCATGCACGACAGAGCAGAAGCCCTTGATCAAGAGTGGCGGGGTGTCTGGCATGCTGGCGCGCCAGCAGCACCAGCCACTGCTCTGCGGCAACAGCGTTATGCAGCGCACCATGGGGAATTCAAGGTACTTCAGGACTCCGTGGGGTGGCACATGGGTCCTCAGGCCATAGTATGCCACTGGAAAGTATTCCTGCCAACAGGCGGAACGGACACAGGTAATTGAGATGAAGATCAAGCTTGTCGTCGGGGCTGAAGTGCATAGCAGGCGGAGCTGGAACTCACATTGGAGGCTGAGTTCATTCCATACACGGTGATGTTGTTAGCAAACGCATACTCAGCAAACTGCAGGGAGGGATGCAGGAGGGGGCGGAGGAAGCTCTGAGGCGGGCACATTGAGAGGGACACGCGCTAGGAGAGCACAAGCAGCGCTGGGGCCCAGGCCGGCAGTCAGCACAGACGCCCCGCCCACTGGGCACTTGTGTGGCACTTGCCCGCTTCCAGCCCTCATATGTGTAGCTGCAGCGCAGCACGGGGTGAGGCAGCATGTTCTTGTCAGGCGGGGCTCTGCCTGGACTCCACCACTGTCGGTAGGGCCACCTGCTCATGTGAGGCCAAGCATACCACCCTCTGCCGCGTCCCACCTGCTCAGGTTGCGCCCTGTCAGCTCCGCCTTGTCCAGCCTCGCTGTCGTCCAATTGTTGTACCAGCTGCCTGCAGGAGCAGCCAGACCCAGCATGGCCCAGATGAGTTGTGCGCAAGCAGGAAAGCCCCCATACCCACCGCACCCTGGCACTCCACACCACGGCAGCCTGCCACATGGCACCTGCCTACCCTGGTACTCATTCGCCAGCACATTCAGCGGCCAGCTGCCGTTGGGCAGGCGCGGAGGGCGGTACTGTGCGAAGATGTCGTTGTCAGGGTCGGCCACTGGCGTCAGGATGGACACCATGCTGTACACATGCGGCAGCAAGGCCAAGACAGCAGGCAACGAGCGATGGCCGTATGCTGAGTTGGTTGACAAGAGGAGAGATCACATGACGCCGGTGACGTGCCGTGCAGCATGGCTCCTGCTGCTGCTGTCGTGCATGCCCTGCCCTGCTGCCCTGCCCCTACCCGCTCACCTGTCTAGCATGCCGTTGGGCACGGGCTTCTCCACCACCACACCCACACGGTAGCTGCGAGGCAGGCAGGGCATGAAGGGGCGGGCAGAAGCTCAGTAGCTGGCAGCAGGCAGGAAAGCATGGGTTCGGAGTGGAGGCCACATGCAGCTGCCGTCATGGCACTCGTGTGAAATGTGCAGCGCAGCGCGTCGGCACAGCCAAGCACAGCAGAGTGCATCGCAGCGCTCACAGCATGGGATCCGCCGTCACGTTCTTGTCCCCCCGAAGCAGCGGTACCATAGAGATGCCGTCCCGCTCCCCAGCCAGCGGATCCTCAACACCTGCGCCAGGACGAGCCGCAGGAACAGCTTGCAGCGGAGAGAGAGGGCGCGGTGCTGCCGCAAGCCTCACGGCTCGCCTGCACCTCTGCAGGCTCTACTCCCATCGCGCAGCCATGCCAGGGCCGAACTCCCACACCCTTACGCCCCCATGCGCGCAAACAGCATTGCCGCCAACCAGTCACTCATCCCACCCACGCACCCGCTAGCTCCAGCCAGGTAGGGGCGAAGTCAATATTTGAGACCATGTGGGGCAGCTGCACGCCCCGTGGCACCCCCGGGCCCCGCACATAAAAGGGCAGCTTGACGTCTGTCTCGTACCCGCTCATCTTGCCAGACTGCGCGGCGACAGCAGCAGCAAGCGGGCACGCGGCGGTGAAGCTGCAGCGCGAGGCTCATCGCAGGAGTGCCACCAGGGTGATGGGGGTGGGGTTTTATGGGTGGGGCACACAAACGCAGACACGGCAAGCTTCCAAGCATGAGCGAGACACGGCTAGTCCTCCACGGAGCTCACCAGCCGGTGGTGGCCGAGCTGCAGGCAGGAGGGAGAGAAGGTCAGGTGCATGCGGCAGCATGATAGACGGCCAAGGCAAGCATGCACCAACTGCGTCTGCCGGCCGCCTTGCGGCCGCCCTGCCCCCGAGTGCCCCGGCTGGCAGCATGGCTGCCACCCTACCTTATAACCGTTGTCGCTTGTGAAGAACACGTACGTGTTGTCCAGCTCGCCCACCTCCTCCAGCGCCTGCATGCAAGGCAAGCGGCGGGCCGGCCCTGACAAGCATGGCAGTGCCGCAACCTGCCAGGCAAGGCACTCCTGCGTCGCAGCTCTGGTGCCTGACCAGGGCAGGCAGAGCAGCCGTGCCAGAAGCGCACCAGGAACACCGCTTCAATCATGTCATCAACTGCCAGCAGCGTTTCGGCGCGGGCCTGGTACTTGAAGTCCAGCCCTGCAGCCATCTCCTCGTCTATGGGCGGCAGCGAATTGATGAAGCTGACCTGCAGGCCGGATACCAGGAAACACAGAGATTGGGGGAGGGAGGGAAGGTGGGTAGCCTGGGGCAGGCGGAGGCATGCGTGGTGGCCAGGGCCCACCTTCTTCCTCAGGTGCTGCTGGCTCTCGTTGTAGGCAGGCACACGGGGTATCTTCAAGCCTGCAGGCAATGGCCGCTAGCACCACCACCACAACGCATAAGCACACACACATCTCTTGGGCACGCCAGCAAGGGGTGCAATGGTACTGCCGCCTTGCCATCCCGCTGCCCACTGCTGCCCGGAAGCAGCCCTCGCACCTTTCAGCTTGTTCAGGTGGCGGTTGGCGGGGATGTGGGGGTAGTGGCAGGCGTCTGTGGCAGGTGGGGCAGGAGGGAAGGGGAGCAGGCACCCTACCGTCAGATGGCCACAAGCCGTGCGCCACACCGGCATATGCAGGAGCAGCAATCAGCAGGGGCACATGGCAAGTGACCTGGCAGGCCACTCACAGGGGGCCAGGTAGAGGAAGAAAGGACGAGAGTCATCCTTGACCTGCTGGATAAACTCTACACCGTGCGCAGTCACGACGTCTGCAGAAGGCAGGGAAGCAGACAGCCTGAGCGCGGCCCCGCCAGCCGCTCCAACACGCCCCTCCTTCCTCACACGCCGTGCAGATGTTGATTGCCAGGCCTCGCAATCCCTCCAGCTGCTCAAGGTCTCCCACGCCGCCTGCCACACCCCACCTGTGCTGTAATCATCCTCTGCATTGGCAAACGACTTGCTCTTGCCCTGCAGGGGAAAGGGTGCCGGCAGCCAGGCAGCATCAGCATCAAGCCCAGGAACTGAAGCACTCGGCAGCAGCAGCCCACCCGGCAGGGCTGCAACAAGAACAATCACCTGATCCGACACAGTGTAATTGTAAAATTCGTTGTCGCTGAACACAAACCACCGGTCCCACCCCGGCGGCACGTGGGGAATGAAGGTGGAGTTGTAGCCTGTGAGGTACCTGCAGCCAGGTGGCAGGGTGGCAGGGTGAGGTGTGTGGAAGGAAGCACTGTCGTGGCATGACTGCCACACCCATATGCATGACCGAATGGGTTCGCACACTCACTTGCCAATCATGCCGGTGCGGTAGCCGGCCTGGTGCAGGTAGTAGGGCGCCGTCTTGTTCTCCAGCCCCATCTCCTGGAAGCGCCCAAAGCCGCCCAGCGGGTTGGTGGAGGCAGTGGACTTGCTGGAGCCAGGCGGGGTCCTGGCCGAGCCTGCATGAAGCGCCAGCCGCCCGCCGACCTGGACGTTGCTGTCGTCGGTGGCAGGCAGGCGCACGACAGGGTGCAGCTGGCGGCAGGCAGCAACACGTGCGGCATGCACGAATGATCACGGAGCACGCAACCCTGCTTACCCAATCCCACCACGCCCGTGTTGTGAGAGCACTGGCCCATCAGAATGGTGGCACGCGAGGGGCAGCAGAGCGCATAATTGCCTGCGGGCAGGCACAAACCGAGGGGACAGCGTTGACGCTCCCCAACGGAGCAGCCCTGGCAGGATCCTGCACAACTCACTGATGTAACTTGTCACGTTTATTCCTTCTGTTCCCAGGAGCTTGTGCAGTTTGGGCATGTACCAGTCCGTCCCTATCATTCCATCCTGGTCGTCCGTGAGGATGAGCTGCACGCAGGCACAGCGGGAGATGGTTGGGCCTCATCGGGGGAGCGGCGCACGCTTGATCCATCTCCGCTTGATAGGCACGCAGCCGCCACCGCGCTTGGGGATAACTCGCTCGAATCATCGAGCAGAGAAACTGGGGTGGTAGGGGCTGCGGTGGCGATGGCCGCCCGCCACCGGGGGGTGCACCCGCCGCCAGGGGGTGGTGACTGCCCACCCCATCACCCAATCCAGCGTTGCCCGCACGGTTTCAAAACGCTTTGCACGCTGCCTCAGGCCACGCACCACGATGTTGGGGCGCTTCTGTTTGGTATCACTACCGTGCTCATCAGGGCCCAGCCTGCGCCGGCCCGCGACACCGTCCCTGCTGCCACAAACACATGTGAGTCCTAGCAGCAGTGCCGCTACCAGCGCCGCAAGCTTGCTTGTCCGGCTCGGGTGAGAGGTCAAGCTCCTGAGACACCAGCGATGCATTATTGACAGAAGATGGATGCAGATGGAGTACAAGAACACGAAGAAGCGTCGAACAATTTGGGGGAGCCCACAGAGAACGTGCAAGTACCACCTACACGGCGCCACCTGGTGCCAAGCGTGCCGCTATGAGCGCACCACTCTCGGCAGGAGACGGGCCGGGGGAGGAAGGGAACTCACAGAGCAGGACACCGGGCCTCATGCCCACTCCCGTGGCTGCCGCAGCACCTCCACCACCCGCTCCTCCTCCGACCCCACCTCTGGCTGCACGTTGTAGCGCCAGGCGATGAGCGGCGGCGCAGACACCATGATGCTTTCCACCCTGCGCATGGCACAGGATGAGGAGGGTCGAGGCATGCCAGTCACATTGCGTAGCTGGCAGTGTCCTCAGAACAATGGCGAAGCAGCCTGCCAGGGTTGCATCCGTGCGCCTCTCCCGCTTGTGCGACCCCGTGCCCCAGCCCACCTGCCGCCATCCAGCCCAAACTTGACCCCCCGATCATAGAGCAGGTTAAATTCCAAGTATCTGCATGACCAGTGGACGCAAACAGTGCCATCTCAGCTTGACCTGGCAGGGAGCAGTAGGAGGGCAAACCGGGGCTGTTGGCGGCAGGCGGCGCCCACGACAACCCCACGCCCGCTTACCGCCCCCGCCGGAGCAGCTGCCACTGCCGCTGCGCCTCGCTGAAGGGCTGGCCGCGGCGGCGCTCCACGATGGGCGCCCAGCTAGGCAGGATGCCGTCCCCCACGTCCCTCACAAACTGCATGGCGGGGGCGGCACGGGAGCAATGGGCTGGATGGGTGGAGTGACGGAGGCGAAGGCAAGGCAAGGCAGCACCAGTGCCACCCCCAATCTCAACAGAAGCGGCACACGTCCAAGCCAAAAGCAGCCCCAAGCTGCAGCCCCTCCCGGTGGCCCCCAGCCTCCCCAGGCCAGCCCTGCCCAGCCCTGCCCTGCCTCGCCTCACCCGCGCCACATCGTACCCCGCCTCTGATGCATCGACGTCGTCAAAAAACAGGCCGCCCAGGCCGCGGTGCTCCTTGCGGGCGGGCAGGTAGAAGTAGCGGTCGCACCAGGCCTTGAACTCGGGGTACAGCTGCGGTACGGTACGGTGTGGTGCAGTACATTCAGGCGTGCGGTACGCATGGGGGTGCAGTGCACTGCAGTCGGGAGCGTGTGGACCAGGCAGAGGGGCAGCAGGGGCTAGAGAAAGGAGCAAGGGCGCGGCCTGCGTCACGCGCCTGCGGGCTGTGCGCGTCGCACAGCTGCTTCCAGTAAGCGTGGAATTCTGCCGCATCCTGCTCCACCAGGTAGAAGGGTGTGAGGTCGCAGCCGCCGCCGTACCACATCTGACCTTCCACCTGCGGGGTCCGTTGTGCATGAGCATGTGTGCGGCTGATTCTGGTGGTGGGGGTGGGGGGATGCCTCTGTGCGGGAGAGGCGGGCGCGAGGGCCACAGTGGGAAGGGCAAGGAGGGAGGCCAGGACAGAGGAACGAGAAGGTGGTTGGCGCCCGCAATGCAGCATCGGCACTCGTGCAGCGCTCCTAGGCAAGCTGCAGGTGGCGGCGGCAGCATACCTCAAACAGCCGCACGTCAGCTCGCAGGGTGGGGATGAAGGGGTGTGCGCTGTGGAACACCAGGCTCATGGCCGCGGCTGCACCAGGGACGAGAGCACATGACAGCCAGATCCGCAACCGAGCAGGAGGAGCCCACTCCTCCTGTTAAGCCCCTGCACTCTGGTCCTGCCCGTGCAATAGGCTGTTGCACGGCACCCCGCTGGGTCCTGCTCCCACCCGAGTAGCTCTGTCCGCTGGCGGGATCGATGGCAGCGCGGCCGCGCCTGCTCATGGCTTTGGCTCGCTCAGGGGTCAGCACCCCCGCCACAACAGAGATGTTGGCTGCCGCCTTCTCCAGCACCGAGCCGCCCTCCAGAACTGTGCGGCAGCAGAGTGATCTGGGACAAGGTGTCACTTACTAGCAGCGGCGACAGGCGCGGAGCCGCGCTGGTGGCTGCTGTCGCGGCCTGCGCTGGGACCTGCCTCCATGATCCCCTGCCGTGCTGTCCACGAGCCCTTCCGGCAACGCCGCTGGTTCTAGCTTGCTGCCTGCCCCTGCTCGCCTACCTGATGTGATGCCGTAGCCAGCATTGGGGTTGGAGGGGCTGCGGGACCAGCGGTTGTGCTGAAACGTGGCGCCGCTGCCGTCGAGCTCCTCGGCGGCCTGGCAGGCAGAGGGCAGGTGTGCAGCATCAGCGTCAGCGGGCAGCACAAGTATGCGCAGGGGTGGCGGCAGGAACGAGGCGGCGGCCAGCATCTGGTTGAAATGATTACCTGGATTATCCTCATCTGCAGGTCCACGATGTATTCCTCAAAGCTGGAGCTGACTGCCTGCTGCTGCCGTTGCTGCTGGGCGGCGGCCGCCGCGCAAAGGTGCCGTGCCCGCGCGCAGCCGTGCACAGTGCGGCGCCATCCGCTGGTCGCGCTGCACTTATGGTATCTTTGTGGTGCATCTGGACTGCGCGCTGCTGCTCTCGTGGCACCGCAACGGGGCATGGTGGCACAAGGTGTTGCCGCTGCAGCGCATCCCCTCATCGCCGGTGCAGACAAGCTCACCAAGCATGCGGCGTACATGGGTTGCATTGCAAGCTGCTGTGTATTGCAACCACCACCATCTGTTCCAATCCTATCTGCCTCGCTGGCATCCAACCTCTTGCTTCCTCCCCCAAACACGCTCTCTCACAGACGCCCGACAGCAATAGCCGACACGCCAGCCCCGCCCCGCCTGCGCCGGCCTAACTCCGACAGTGTCGTCATCTCGGGAGCCGGCAGCCCAGCCCCCGCTATGCACACAGCAGCAGCCACCCTCAAGCCCTGCGTGACGGGCGCTATCGCCCGCAGGCCGGCGTCGCGTCGGGCAGTGGTTGTCAGGGCTGCACACGAGCAGGAAGAGGCTGTGAGCCGCAGGCGAGCTCTGGGCACAGCCAGTGGCCCAGCCTCTTCTAGCTGGCACTTGTTAGAGCTGCTGAAAGGGAGAGGGCCCGTGCAGGGCGGTCAACACCTTGATCGCGTTTGCCACCGCCGACCTGACGGTATCACGCCCCGCTTGCTGTCCTCCAGATCGGCGCTGTCGGGCCTCGTGGCGCTTCCAATGCTGCTGGCAGCTGCCCCTGCCTTTGCTTTTGGCAAGGACGTACGCAAGGCCATGCAGGAGTGAGTGAGGCAGGACAGACGGCTGCGGCGCTCGCTCGCTCAGTCACGCTCGTTCAAACATGGCTTCACTGGTTCGTGCGCTGCAGGAAGGAAGCACGCAAGGCCAAACTAAAAGCGGCGGCTGCCAAGATGAAGCAGAGCCAAACGACGGAGGCGGCCTTTGCAGACAGTAAGTACAGCCTGCCGGAGGAGTCCACCACTCCCAACATGCGGACGCTGGCGGTGCGTGTTGCGCTATGTGGCTGCTACTGGCTGCAACTGGCCTGCACCTGCCTGCCTGAAAGGCGCTGCTGTGGAGGCCAGGGCTAGGCCCGCACAGCTGCATGCTGGGCACCCCTGCCTCAGGTAGCATTTTGTCAGGGTTGTACCATGGTCCTGCTCGCAGAATGACCGGCTGAGGAAGGAGGACTGAGCGCGGCTGTGCTGGGCTGGAAGGCAACCACGCCTCCCACCTCGTGCGGCTTAGCTTCCATGTGATGCAAGGCTTTGGTTTTGCTGGGACGACGTTTGCCCGAGTGTTCCCGCCTGCTGCTACTGCGATCTGTATGTGAGACGATTTTGCTGCCCTGCACTGTTTACGAGCCCTTGAAGAGAGCAAACACTTGCGCCACCTACCCCTGTGCCGACCCCCCTTGATGATCAATCTCCTGATTTTGCTATGTAAGGATGGACTGATTTTGGCCGATGAGAGGCAAAGGACAGGTGACTGGACACAGAGGCAGGCAGAATGCCAGGAATCCTGCCATGGCGGCGGCCCCGGCACCACAGCCGCCACTGCACGCAGTACGTGCCGCCACCTACACACGTACTGCGGCTCACTGATCTTGCTTGCAAGCGCGCTTCTGGGCGCCATACAGCACTCCAGCAGTGTCCACGATGAAGGTCGCTTGTCTGGCCGTGCTGGTGCTCTGCGGCGCCCTTGCGGCCGATGCCGCGGGAGATGACCCCACGGTGTCAATGCCGGGTGTCGTAGACCTGAGTGAGTGGGTCCGGTTCTGCGGTGGGCACAGATCAGGCAATGGGGCGCTCCAGCAGGCAAGCACATAGATGCTTCCCGCCCGCCTTCCCTGCGCTGCAGCTCCCGCCAACTTTGCATCCGAGCACAGCGGCAAGCGGGCGGCGCTGATCGAGGTGGGTTGCCGAGCGCTGTGCCTGCTTGCCATGGCAGGCCCCATCTCCGTCTGGCTGTGAGCCTTGAGGCTGTCTGTTGTCCCTCCCTGCCTTCCTGCAGTTCTACGCGCCTTGTGAGTGATCCAATTGCCCTGGGGGCGCCTGCGGGGCGCGGGGGATGTTTGTGGCGGCAGCGGCCCTGCAGAGAGCGTCGGCACCGCCTGTGCCGGCTCGCTCCGGCACCCATGCCCTGCGGGCTGCCTGTGCATGTGCCGGAAGCGCCTGTCAGGAGGGCATGCGCTATCTCCATCCGCAGCACAGGCTCGGCAGGTCCTACTGCACTGCTGCGCCTCACTCTGCGCCCTTGCGCCCCTGCTTCCCGCCCCGCTCCCATCCTCCACAGGGTGCGGCCACTGCAAGCGCCTGGTGCCAGAGTACATCGCTCTGGGCCAGAAGATTGCCGCCGACCCCAAGCTGAAGAGCCGCGTGCTGATTGCCAAGGTCGATGCGGACGCGCACCGCGAGCTGGGTGAGCCAGCTGCCACGCGAGCGCCAGCCAGCTGGCATGCCAGCTCAGCAAACTGCGGCTGGCTGAGCGCTTGCCGCGCCCTCCGTGCTGCTGCTGCACCGCTGGCCCGCCGCCGTCACACACGTGCCGCGCCGCTGCGCCCTCGCCGTGCAGGCGAGAAGTTTGGCGTGCGCGGCTTCCCCACCATCAAGTGGTTCCCCCGCGGCAAGGCCGCCGACCCCGTTGAGTGAGTGCGCCCGCCCGCCTGCCAGCCCGCCTGCCAGCCTGCCTGCGGTGTGCTACCCACAGTGTGCTACCCACGCGCCATAACGGGTCATCTCCCCACACGCCTGCTGCCCCGCCCTCCTCACCTCCACCCTCCCCGCCCCGCCATCGCCTCCCCACGCCTTGCCCCGCCCCCTCGCTCCCCCTGCAGCTACAACGGCGGGCGCAGCGCGGACGACTTCCTCAAGTTCATCAACGAGCAGGTGGCCGCCGACGCCGGCTTCGCCCGCGTCGACGCCCTGGTGCCCATCGCACAAAAGTTCATGGCCGCCGCGGCCGCCGACCAGGCGGCGGTGGTGGCGGAGGCCAAGGCGGCGGCAGAGGCGGCCGCGGGTGAGCGGCGGCGGCGGCGGCGACGCCCCGCCGGATGCCCTGCCGGGCTGCTGCCCTGCTGCCTCAGCTGCCACCATGCGCTGCAGCTTGGCTGCCTCGCCCTTTTGCTGCCGTGGCATGCGCCGCCTCCAGCACGCCCCTCGTCCTCATCCTCACCCATCCATCTCGTCCTTGTCCCCCTCTCCCCCTCGTACCCGCAGCTGACGACAAGGACAACGCGGCGCTGTACGTCCGGTTCATGAAGAAGGCTGTGGAGAAGGGGGTGGAGTGGGTCACCAAGGAGGTGGAGCGGCTGACCAAGATGGCCGAGAAGCCGATGAGCGGTGGGTGGCGCCTGGCGGCAGGCATGCGATTCGGCTGGCTGGACGGCAGCGGCTGCGGCGCCCCAGCCCGCGCTGCCGGCTGCCCGGCGGCCAGCGGTGGATGGATGGCAGGGAGCGGGATGCACCAGGGTGTGGCCTGCGGGAGGCTCTGCCCGCAGGCTGGGCGCTGGCGCAGTGCGGCGCAGGCAGGGGTGGTCCGCTGGCTGGCGCGCTTTCCTCCACTGCTGCACGCCCCGCCTGCCTGCAGCCGCCAAGCTGGACGAGGTGAGCCGCAAGATCAGCGTGCTTTCCTCCTTCACGGAGAAGCCGGCAGAGCCCGAGGAGGCCGCGCCGGTGCCCTCGGACGCGGGGTCCCAGGCGTCGGCGGCGGCCGACGAGGACGAGGATGAGGATGACTCCGTGTATGATGACGGCCTGGATGACAACGAGGGTGCAGGTCAGAAGCGGTGCAGCCGCCCACTTTGCAGCGCAGCCGACGTGTGATGTGATTTGCATGCGTGAGGCAGCCCGGCGGCAGCGGGGCAAGGCACGTCGCGGTGGCGCGTGGAGGGGGCAGTGGGCCGCAGACAGCGCCGGCGCAAGCTGCTGCGTGTGCATGCGAGCGGCTCGCTGGGGCAACGCCCATGTGGCTGCATCGCTGACCCTGCCTTCCCACCGTCGTGGCTGCTGTGCTACTGCTGCCGCAGAGTTGGAGGAGGGTGAGGAGGGCGAGGAGGAGGATGGAGAGGAGATGGAGGAGGACGATGAGGGTGGCGCCCCCGCCGAGGATGACGACGATCCTTATGACGATTCTGAGCTCTGAGCTGGCTGATGGTCGCACGTCCAGCGGGGCAGATGGCTGCATCGAAGGGGCCGCCCTGCCGGGCTGAGAGCTGCGCACGTCCGGAGCTGGAGGCTGCTTCACAGCCTTCTCATTTCATGTGACGTGGAGCTGCGGGCGGCGGGGGCGTGGCTGTGTGGCTCCGTGCAGGCAGATGCCAGCCCGCCTGCCGCCTCACCGCTCTGTGATCCTTTCAGCTTTGTGTAATGTTACACCACCTCGGCTTGCTGCCGACGGCGGCTGGCACGCTGCGGTCAACGATGTAGCAGAGCATGGGGTGCGCAGCAACCCACTCGGCCTTCCCTGGCTGCCACCCGCTTCAGATATCCTCACCTGCTCGGGTGAACGCAGAAACCATGCCAGGAACGGCCTGTATGTCGCTCTATGGGGTGGGGTGGGGGGGGGGGGGGGGGGGTAGGAGCGGGCCAGCGCCAGGCTGGCGTTACCTACAGGTGACCACCGGTGATCTCAGCAATTTTGGCATTTCATTCCAAGCGCCCATGCGCCCACATTCATTATGCCTCACAGGCTAATGGCGCTGCCCTTGGACAAGAGAGAGATGGCCTCCCTCAAGGGGGTCTGCATCGAGTTCACAGACGTACGGTTCGTCGTCAAGGATCGGCGCAGCGGCGCAATGCTGGACATACTGAAGGGCGTTACGGGCAAGGTGTGTTGGGCCTGGCTGGTGGGAAATGCTGCCCGCGGGACCCGGCCAGCCGCCACGCCCCGCTTCCCCACGCACCTCCCAAACCTCCTACGCATGACTAGCCGCTGATCAGACCAGGCAGCGACACAAGAAGGTGGCCTCCACACCGCCGCCGCCGCCGCCATACACTGCCGCCTGGCCTGCAGGTGGAGGCCAACCGGCTGACCGTCATCATGGGGTCCAGCGGCGCCGGCAAGACGACGCTGGTGCGCTCGCTTTGCCAGCCCGCCTGCTTAGGACTTGCGTGCTCCTTCGCCCTTGCCCCTGGCCACTGCTTCTCACCGGTGCAGCTTCCCCACGCCTGCAGCTGGACGTGCTGGCCTGCAACCTGTTTGGCAGCGGCACGGTCACCGGGGAGGTGCTGGTCAACGGCGCCCCGCGCCGCACCTCCGAGTTCACCCAGATCAGCTCCTACGTGCTGCAGCGAGGTGCGGCGACGACGCTGGGCAGCGGCATTGGCCCTGCCGCGTGCTGCCTATCGCTCGCCTGCCTCAGCCCTACGTCACGCCCACCACCTTTCAGTGCCCACCCCAAACCGTCCAGCCTGCCCTCCTCCTCCATGTGTGCCTGTTCCTGCAGACGTGCTGCTGGCGTCCAGCACGGTGCGTGAGTCCATCATGATTGCCGCGCAGCTCAAGCTGCCGCGCACCATGTCTCACCGTGACAAGGTGGAGCGCGTGGATGAGGTCCTGCGGGAGCTGGTGGGTGGCAGCTGCCGTGCAGCTTCCCCGCCTCTCCCGGCATGCTCTCTTTGCTGTTGGATTGTTTTCTGGAAGCGGGGCCTGTGGAGCTGCTGACGCCAGCGCCGACTATGTGGCACCTGGGCGGGGCATGCTGAGCAGAGCTGGCCAACCGCGCCTGCATGCAGGAACTGGAGGGCTGCCAGCACACGCTGATTGGCGATGAGCTGCTCAACATGAAGGGCATCTCCGGGGGGCAGCGCCGCAGAGTGTCAGGTGGGTGGTCGAACAGGCGGCACGGCTTGCTTGCTTGCTCCTTGCTCGGCCCCTGTCCAACCCCCTCCATCCTCCTCCCGCCCTGCAGTGGGCATCGAGCTGGTCAAGTCGCCCCGTGTGCTGTTTCTGGATGAGCCGACCAGGTGAGCATGTGGCGGCGCACTCTTGCCGGCTTGCCAGCCCTTAGGGCGCAGGTCATGCATGTGCATGAGCGCGTGTGTGTGCCCCCGTGCCGCTGCAGCGGTCTGGATTCTGAGATGGCTGTGAGCCTCATCGACACCCTGGTGAAGCTGGCCCGCGAGAACAGGACGGTGAGCTGCCTGAGTGCGCCCTGCCCTCCCGCTCGCATCCCCCCCGCCCCTGCGCGGCCCCCAAGCGCCAGCCGCTGGCTCCCACCTGCCTGCCCACACGCTCTGCCCACCGCTCTGCGGCCCCACCCCACCCACCCAAGCAGATTTGCACCACCATCCACCAGCCCAACTCCCTCATCACCTCCAAGTTTGATGACTTCCTGCTGCTCCACGCCGGCTCCACAGCCTACTTTGGGCTGTGGACCGGCGCGGTGGACCACTTTGCGGCCGCCGGCTGCCCCTGCCCGCAGGTGGGGCGGGCGCTGCGCCGCTGGTGTGTGCTCTGCAGCGGATGGGCAGCAGGCTAGCGGCAGGGCAGCCCGCCCACGGCCTCCGCTGCGTGTTGCCCCCCTCGCTGCGCTGCTTTCATGCTGCCCTGCTCACCGGCTGCACCGGCCCTTGTGCCAGACATGTACCTGCGCATCTGTACCGCCTCTGCACTGCAGTACGTCAACCCCACCGACTACTTCATGAGCGTGCTCAAGGAGAAGGGCGACGAGCTGGTGCTGGCCTGGGAGAAGCAGGAGCAGCAGGGGCGGGCGTGCGGGCTGGACCTGGAGGCGCCGCCCCCCAGCAGCGCTTCGCTCGAGGCGGCGGCCGGGGCAAAGGGGGCACAGGAGGAGCCTGCCAAGCTGCAGGTGGCGCCCAAAGTGCCGTGGTGGTACCAGGTGTGGGTCCTGAGCGGGCGCATGATGCGCATGTGGTGGCGCAACCCGGCCATGGTGAGTGAGGGCGGGGTGGGTGGGCCTGCCTCGCCTCTATGCCACGACCGGCCCGGATGGCGTCTCCCCCTGCTGGCACCACGCCGGGACCAACACATGCCTGGATGTCGCCCCCTGCTGCGCGTGCTTTCCAGTTCATGAGCGAGATCACGCAGTACATCTTCATGGGCGTCTTCATCGGCCTGGTGTACCTGCAAGTCAGCGACTCGCTCGCCACCGGCGTGAACGACCGCGCCGCCTCCATGTGGTTTGCCATGGCCGTGCTGTCCTTCACCCCCAGCTACACAGGTAGGCGGGGTGCTTGCCTGCCTGCCAGCCCAGCGCGGCAGCCCTCCTGTGGGGGGGATCGTGCAGGAGGGCTGCTGCAGGGCCAGGCGAGGGCAGGTGTGCATGTTCGGTGCCTGCGGCAGCCTGCCTGTGCCGGTTCCACACCCCCTTCATCCTCGGCTGCTGAGCCTGCTGCTTGCCCGCCTGCCTGTGGCGCCTCCCTCCCTCCCTGCCCTCTGTGCTGTGCAGCCGCCGTGCTCTGGGACAAGGACCGCCTGCTGCTTCGGCGGGAGAGCCAGCAGGGCATGTACTCGGTCACAGCTTGGTTTGCGGCACGCACCGGCACCGTCACGCCCATGCAGATATTTCAGACCTCGCTCTTCTGTGTTCTCATGGTGAGCTGAAGCTGGCGGGGGCAGCAGAGTTGTATGGGTGCCTGCGGTTGGCGTCCTTGGCCTTCGCTTTCCTCCAAGCCGACTTGGGTGGATTCCCGCGTGCCTGCCTCTCATCTTCCCATCAGCAACCTGACAGCGACCCCCCCCCCCCCCCCGTCTCTGCAGTACTTCATGGTTGGCTACGTCCCTGACTTTGTCAACTTCCTGGTCTTCCTGGCCGGTGAGTGCTGAGCTGGCAGGTGCTGAGCTGGCACGGCAGGCTCTGCTGGTGCACCGCGTCTGGCGCCTGGCTACCTGGGTTACGCCCGACCCGTGCCGAATGGGCGCTGCTCCTCGCATGGCTCTGCTGCAGCTTTCTGTATGTTCCAGCTGGTCAGCGAGACAGTGGGCGTCATGTGCGCCATCGTCACAAAGAGCTCAACCTATGCTGTGCTGGTGAGCCCGCTGGGTGCGCTCTCCTCCTCTCCACATCTCCTGAGCCTCTGTGTGCGCCCCAGCCTGGGCTGCCCAGCTCAGATACACGGCATGCCAGGCCGACCACTGCTGCCCATGCATCAGTCCTGATCTGACGCTGTCCACTGATGCGTGCAGATTCTCACCTTCATTCTCCTCTTCCTGCTCTCGTTCTCTGGCTTCCTGGTCAGTGATGTGCCAGTCTACTTCAAATGGATCAGGCAAGGCTTTGTTTGCAGCACACACGCAGGCTGCCCTCACTTCTTGCCCTGCTATCGTGCCGTCACTGGTCTGGTCTGGCCTGGTTTTCAGCTCGCTGTGTTGCCGAGGCAACACCTCCCCTGACGTCGCCTCCCTCTCCTTGCGCTTCCCGCCTGTGCAGCAAAGTCTCCTACCTGACCTACGCCTATGCAGCAGGTAGGCAGGGCAGCTTGCAAAGCAGCTGCATGGGCGTCAGAACCTGGCTGTCCTTGTCCACCAACCCTTGCCCCCTCCCTCATCGTTTTCTTCCTTCTCTCGCCTTATGCAGTGATGGCCAACGAGTTCAACAATGTCACATTCTACACCGCTGACGGCGAGCCCGTGCCGGGGTCGGAAGTCTTCAGCGGCGGCGTCCCCGGGGTGTCGCTGACCGGCGTGGACAACGGGCTGTCCATCGGGGCAAACCTGGGCATCCTGTTTGGCATCTTTGTGGGCGCCCGCGTCCTCGCCTTTGTGCTCCTCTTCATCATGGCCAAGCGCAAGTGGCTGTGAGGCGAGCGCCCGTGATCTCGCAGCCGCTTCCATGCCCAGACCCTATACTAGAGGCTTAGCCAGCCTTCGACTGTTCCATGTTGCTACCTATCATTGCTACCTATCCGTCTCTTTTGGAGGCCCAGTTCACGGCTGATCGGCCATCATATTGTCTAGCCATCCACCCCAACTATTTCATTGCCAGCGACTCCTCATGGGCCCCTCTCTCAGCCATCAATTAATACCGTAACATTGTGATCCCCATCCCATCAGTCAGATCTTGCAAACTGCTCACCAACTTGCCGCGGCAGTCTGTTACAGGGGTTGAGCCTATCACTTTCAGGCAGCTGGGCAAGGCGGAGGTGGAGGAAGCTGCAGCCATAGGCACCTCAAGGGTGCGTCGGTCTGTGAAGGAAAGCGGGGGCGGGTGGCTTGAGGGGCGCTGTGCAAAACTTGGCCGGTGGCGCAGTATCGTCCCAGCCAGCCAGAGTGGAGTAACGGGATAGAAAGAGATCAGTTTCGGTTTTGGATGGTAGGGTAGGCCTGTGAAGAGACATATACATGGGCGGCGGGTCACTGCTTGGGTGCAGCCGCGACATGGCGCCATCAATGGGATTGGTAGAGAGACACACGAATCATGTTCAGGAATGGAGCACGCAACAGTGTGCCACCAGGGGCTGGAGAGCGGGGGTGCAGCAACAGCGAAGAGTGGGGTGAGCCAGTGCTTGAGCCGCCTGCAATGGAGGCGGTCGGAAGCATCTGCGGCGATGAAGAAAGTAATTTGCAGTGGCAGACATGGGCAGGGGTGTGGTTGTCATGTAAGGAGCCTGGCAGCGGGTCGGGCAGCCCGGCACTGGGCTGGTGCGGGGGCAGAGCAGCTTTCCAGGCCAGGGCGCAGCTGCCGAAAACAAAAAGAGTGGAGGAGGGAAAATGGTAGCGGGCACTGGGCCGGCGTGCAGGTAGCTGTGAAGGGAGGGGCCAGGTCCGGTCTGTTGGCTGTCCACGGGTGTCGAAGGTGCTCGGGCTCCGGGGAGGCGGGGAGGCGCCCCACGCCAGCCGGCTGGCCAGCAGTGAGCTCACTCAAAGTCTGCGGGCTGGGTGTGGATGGTGATGCCAGGCGGCACCACAAACCCGGGCGGCAGCATCGCGCCCTGCAGCCAGGCCAGGCGGGCAGGACAGCAGGCAGGCGTCAGGCGCTGCACAGGGCACCGGCCTCTCGGGCCGCCAGCTGCACACCCAGGCCGCCATACAACGTGACGGCGGCGCGGCAGGCAGGCGAGCGGGCGCCTGCAGCCACGCCGCTGTCGCTAGCTGCTGGCTCACCGGCGGCAGCACCATGCCGTCGCGGATGGGCCAGCAGTTGAGGGGCAGGTCCTTCTTGTAGCGCACGCCGCACGCGTTGCACAGCGTGCGCGGCCCCAGCGGGCCGCACCGCCACTGCGGCGTCTGGTGGCAGCCGCAGTTGAGGCACACAGTGCGGCGGCCCTTGCGGTCTGCGCGGAGAAGCGGGGGCAGGGGGGCGGGCACAGGTCAGGAAGGCGGCGAGCAGGTGGGCAGGCTGGTGCATTGAGGCAGCCGAGCCACAGAAGGCAGCGCAGCAGCGGCAGCAGCGAGTCCAGAGCTTGAAGGTGTTGGTCGCGGCGGCGGCAGCAAGGGCCCGCCATCCCGCCTGCCAGCACACTCACTCTTCACCCCGCCTGCCGGCTTGCGCGCACCCTTGCTGCCGCGGCTGCCGACCTCGCCGCTGGACACGTCCGCGCCTCCCACGCTGCCCCGGGAGTCCCGAGACTCGCTGCAAGGCAGGGCAGGAAGGGGGCATGCGGTCGGTTGCGGCAGGTGGCGGCGCAGCTTCGAAAGCGGCAGCGGGCCAGCAGCAGGCGGGATGTGGGCAGCAGGAGTGTGGGCAGGCGGGCTTGTGCCGGGCGGCAGCGGAAGCGGCTTGCCTGGCGGTGTTGCCGCCGTGCGACACATCCAGCCGCCGCTTGACGCCGGTGAAGGAGGCGACCTGCAGGGAGGCAGGGAGGCGTGTAGGGAACGTTGAATGAGCAGGGAGGAGCGTCACAACACCCAACAACTTAAATACACACCACCAAAGGTACACACACAAACCACCTGCGGCATCAGCCCACCTTGCGCACGCGCCCGCTCTTGCTGGTCTGCAGAGACACCTCCGCCTCCTCGTACTCGAAGTCCGCGTAGGCCTGGGAGGCGCGCCGCGGCGTGGCGCGCGGCTGCGCGGGCTGCGGCACCGCCGGCTGGCGCACGCCGCCGGCGGCGGCGCCGGGGCGGTGCGCGGCCGCGGCCGCCGCCTGCTGCTGCATCATCAGCAGCTGCTGGTGCTGCGGGTGGGAGGGCGCGCCGCCCAAGTGCGCCATGCGGCTGGCCTCGTATGCACTGTGCGCCCGCATGCTGGCCTGCAGCGTCAGGCTGCCGCTGCTGCTGACCATGCTGGGCGCCACCAGCGAGGCGGGCGCGCTGCCGGTGGGCACAAACCCGCCGTAGGCGGGCGCCCCCGCGGCCCCGCCGCCGTGCAGCGCGTAGTACGCTTGCTGCTGCTGCTGCTGGGCCGCCGCCGCCGCGTGCTGCTGCTGCTGCTGCTGGTCAAAGGGCGTGGGGCGCAGCGCGGCGCCGCCGCCGCCGTGCGATGAAAACTCAGGCAGGTCAAACGCGTCGCCGGGCAGGTCCAGCGGACCGCTGATGTGCAGGCTGTTCATGGCTGCCCCCGAGCTGGTCCCCGTCTTGTCAAAGTCGTTCAGCATGGACTCCAGGAACTGCATGGAGGGCAGCGTGTAGAGCTGGCCCGCCTGCAGCGGCGGCAGGTCGTCCTTGCCCGCCAGCTGCAGCCACGCGACGCGCCCGGGGGGGAGGGCAGGGGGGCAGGAGAGGCGGTGGGAGGTTGGAGGGAGGCGGGCAGGGCACGCTGGGGCGGCGGAGGAAGGGGGCGGACAGCGAGGGGAAGCACTCCGGGGGTGCTGGTCTGGCCTGCCGCCGACGCGCCGGCGCCAGCTTTGCCTTGCCAAAGCACACCCGGGTGCGGCTGCCGGGGCAAAGGGTCCAGCCCAGGGCCCCACAGGCACCTGCACGCCCAGGCCAGCACCGCACCTGCTCAAACACGTCTTGGAAGATGCTTTGCCGCTCGCCGGGGGCCAGCCCCTTGGCGCGGTTGAGCTCGGTGGCGGCGATGACGTCCAGGCTGATTTGGCGCAGCGGCGGCAGCAGGCCGGCCACCCCGGCGGTGGCAGAGTCCAGGAGCAGCACGCTGGGCTGCTGGCTGGCTGCGGTGGACGAGGAGTCGACGCTGTTTGTCTTGCCGCCCTCGCCGCCGCCCTCGGTGGCCAGGCGGTGCTGGTGCTTGGGGGCCTGCAGGCCGCAATTGGCGGGCGGACGGTGCTTTGCAGGGCGCCAGAGAGGGCAAGCGAGGGCGCATGGCCGCTGCGCTCGCCCCACCACGGCTGCATGCAGCGCATGTCGTCCAGGCCGCGTGAACAACTGCAGGGCTCACCTGCATAGCCGCGACTTGCAGCACGATGTCACTGGCCGTCTTCAGCAACATGGCCTCGCCGTGGGCCTGCAAGGGCGCAGGGCGGGAGGCCTCAGCAACAGTGCGCCAACTACCTGCCCCGGCAGAGCCACCTCCCCCGCGTGCGGGCCCCCAGCGCCTCTGCGGGCGCCCTCTGCGAACTCACCTGCCAGGAGCCAGCCCTCAGGAGCCCCTCCTGCCGTAGCAACCCCTCCTGAGCCTGAGCCTGTGCCATGGTCACCCCAAGCGGCCTCCAGTCTGCCTAGCTAGTAGCTACAATGTACGGTTGGGTGGTGGAGAATACACAGCAGGCGGCAACACGCCCGCGGCTTGTCCTGAGCGCGGCGAGCCACCGGGACGTGACCTGGCAACTGCAATCGCGCACATGCACCCGATGCCCAGATACCGGATGCAATGAGCATCGCGTGCCATAATTACTGCTGGGTCTGCGGCCGTGAACTGTCGGGCGCCCCAACTGACCACACCATGATGCGGCCATGCGGGAGTTGGTTTCTGTTTGCAGTGCTCAGCAGCCTTGCAGGGCACCATCATGCCCAAAAGCAATGCGGAGGGAGGCAAAGTTGGACAACAGAGCTGCGGCGGCCCTCTCTAGCCATGCGCATGCTTGCCGCCGCCGCCGTGGGCAGCCAGCTAAACAGTTGTCGGCCCAACCGGTGCTGGAAATGCCTGGGACGAAGTGGAGACCCCGTGAATTGTGATGTCCTGGGTCCGCTTGCCAGGCTCAGGTGGACTGCAGCCCCACCAGCTCCGCCGGCAGCGCCGCCATCTCGCGCAGCCGCTGGTGGGCAGCCTTCAGGTACTCGCCCAGCAGCGGCAGCTGCCCCTTGGGCGCCTTGCCGCGGATGATCTACACAGGCGCAAGACGGCGGCGGCAAGCATCCACAAGCGGCATGAAACAATGTTGAACATCAAGAACCTCGCTCGCGCTGCGCACCACACCCTGCGCCAGCCACACCAACCAAGCGCCAATCAGCGCCGCTCCTTGGGCACCACCACCACCGCACAGACGCGCCTTGCTCGCCCAGCGCCGCTCCGCCTGCTCGCAGATGTCTTTCAGGTCGCGGCCCGCCATGCCGGGCGTGGCTGCCGCCACCGCCAGCAGCTCTGCATCGCCCAGGTGCCGCGCATACTGCCGCAGGATGTCGGCCCTGTGTGGTCAGACAGGCACACAGGGTTGGCATGTGTGCCACGCGGGCAAAGGAATGCAGAGAAACATAACACGGGAGCCACAAAAGAGGCCATCCACAGTCTCTCGTGCCCGACCTGCCTCCTGCATCTGTCTTGCCGGCGGCAGCCCCAACCCCCGCCTCACCTGCACGCCTCGTTCGGAAGACCAAAGTTGACAGAGGTGGAGAAGCGGGAGATGAGGGCTGGGTCCAAGTCCTGCAGGCATGGATGAGGTGGCGGTGAGAGCGCAGCGTACGGCTGGGAACAGACAGAGACATGGGTGCAGCAGCTTGGACAGTCGAGGGAGGGAGAGTGGTCGCCAGTGCCGAAATGCCGGAAGCCGGGGTGCATCCGCCTGCCTGCTTGCGGTTGGTGGCCCCGATGACCACCGTACGCTTGTTGGTGGAGTCGAATCCATCCAGGTGGCGCAGCAGCACGCCCAGCACGCGCCGCGTCGCCTCATGCATCTCTGCCAGGGCGAGCGGCAGGCAGCAGGGGGCCAGAGGGTGGGGGCAGTGGCTAAGCAGGCAGGAGGGAGACGGAGCAAGTGGCAGGCAGGACAAGCAGAGAGGGAGTGCGAGCGACACAGAAGCGCTGGACCAAGCAACCAGCCCAGCAGCGAACGAGCACACCCGCCCAGTCAGGCACCCGCCTGTGGACCTCGAGGTGGCCAGGGCATCAAGCTCATCTAGAAAGATGATGCAGCCGTCTGGGAACGCCTCGCACGTCTTGAGCATGTCTGCGGGGAGTTGGGAGGTGCGGAATGGGGGCGTGGGTAGGGGGCAGCAAGCGGGGGCTGCGGCATGGCAGTGGGTACATGTGCTGCAAGGGGAGAAGTAGCAGGCAGATAGATACGCGCAGCAGCTGACCCGCCAGCATCTTCTCGCTCTCGCCGTACCACTTGCTGACCACAGCCTCAAGCGGGATGTACACCAGCGGTACAGATGCCTGCGAGGCGATGATGCGGGCCGAGGTGGTCTTGCCGGTGCCGGGAGGCCTGCAGGCAGACACAGCGGGACGCCAGTGCAGAACAGCCTTGGCAGGAGGGCAAGCGAGGGCAAGTGTACTCGCGGCCAGAGCCGTGGCATGCACGGCGGCGAGGCTGCAGGCAGCGGGAAACGCACACCCACCCCTCAAACAGAACTGCGCGGGGCCGATTACTGGCAAACTGGCGCCGTGTGCCCTTGGCTATCTCATTGTACACCTCTGCAGGCGTGGCGAATGGGTCAGGGCATGGCAGGGCAGGTGTGAGGGAGGCAGCAGGTGTGAGGCCGAGGAACCTTTGGCGACGGCTGGCGGATAACCAGGTGAAGCCAGGGCTGCAGCAGCAGCCTTTCCATTTGCCTCCCTTAGGCGTCCCCAAAGCCGTCCCCGCCACACGTCCCTCGTTCCAGCCATCCAGGCAACCGCCCACGCACCCACCCACCGGGGTGCAGAAGCGCCAGCAGCAGCGTGTCCTCGATCTGCTGCTTCTGCTCCTCATACCCAGCCAGGATGCCCCAGTCCACGCCCTCGTGCTGGTGAGGGACAAACACCTGCCGGGCAGAACACAGGGTGGGGGAGTCGGGTGTGTGGTTTGGGGGGTACAAACGGCGGGGCCAAGCAGGAAGGGTTGCATGCGGCGAGCGCCGAAACCGCAGCCCGGCGCTGGCCCCACCTGCGCTCCATTCTTTTCCAGCTTGCGCACGATGCCATCCAGCTGGCGCTGAAGGCGCTGCCGCTCCAGCTGCTCCGCGCTGAGCCCGCCCTCCTCGCCCCCGCCGATCTCCAGCCGCCGCCGCCCGCCGCCCTCCAGGCGCCCGGCCCAGTCGCCGTTGCCCCCGCTGCCGCCGCTGCCGAGGCCCCAGTCAAAGCGCTTGGGGCGGCGCAGCGGAGTCGGCTCCGTGTCACACTCCCCAGCCCCGCCGCCCTCATCGTCGTCTTCCCCGCCCAGCTGCCAGCTCTCCCCTGCACAGCAAAGGCAGCATCAAAGCAGGTCAGGCCTTTACCTGGTTGATGTTGTGCGCAACACGCAAAAAGGCAGAGGCTTGCAGTTCTCCCGCTCCCGCCCTCGCCTTGCGCCATGCGCTCGAACCCGTGGATGAACTCCTTCAGGTGCTCCAAGAAGGGGTCGACAGCCGACTCAAAGGGGCGCCCAAAGTGGGTGCCCTCAAACAGCTGGCCCCAGTCCTGGAGCTCCTGCACAGCACACACAGCACAGCGCAGCATAAGAGGGAGGCGGGCAGCAAGGCCCTCGGTCCTTATGCCACCGAGGGTGCCCAAAAGCACCAGGCCGCCACCCGCGTGCACAGCGCACCTCCACAGGCCCGCGCCGACGCGGCTGCATCGCGCTCTGCAGCGTGGCTGACATGAGGGCGAGGTCCCGCTGGGAGGCGCGGCCGCGGAAGTGGAAGCGGGCGGGGAGGGAGCGGTCGTAAGGCTCCTCCACATCTACCGACAGATTGCCAAGCGCTGCACGCGGCCAGGAAGGCACTCGGCGACCTCAGGCAGCACGGCAGGAGGCGAAGGACCCCTTGCCCTTGCCCAGCGGAAGGAGCACGACAGCCACTACTGGTCAGGCAGTGAAGGTACGATTGGTACCAGCAACGAGGCACGCACGTACCTGTGGAGCGGCGCACGAACTGGGTGGCCTTGCCCTCGCCGCCGCTGGTGCTGCTCTCGTTCACCGAGCTGCCGTAGGATCCCTCCTCTGGGCTGGCAAAGGCGGGGCTGTGCAGCTGGCGCCGCAGCACGCGCACCGCGCCTGCACGGGACAGCACAGGCGGCCAGCGCGGGGGCAGCGGTCGCATGCGGTGAAGCTCGCATCCCTCTGCATTACCACTACAGTTGCACCCACAGGAGGATCTAGCCTAGCAGCCGTGCCACACAAGACTTTGCCCCCACCTCCACCTCCTGCACCACCAGTGAGCCTGCTGCATCATGCCTCACCCTGTACGTCCAGCTCCTGCGGCAGCTGGAAGGTGACGTCCACCTCGCCACGGCGCCCCACATCCACCTCTGGCTCGGGGATGCTGCAGCGGTACAACGGTACAATGGTACAGTGTAAAGCAGCTGTACAGGGCGAGGCAGACGATCGAGAATGGCGGAAGTGAAGCAGTGCAACGACTGCCCAGGGTGCGCTCCAAGCAGGCGCATGGCAGGCGGGAGGCTCACTGGCGCAGGCGGGCGCCGCCGGGCAGGGTGGCCTCGATGCGATGCAGCTGCTCATCCAGCTGCCGCCACAGGTCGACGACTGCCGCCTTGATGCTGCTCGGGTCCATGCCGCCATCCTGCGCCGCCTGCCGGCAGGCATACGACAGCACACAACAGACTGACATGGGGCATACAAAGCAGAGGCGTATCGTGAGATGGCAGCGGCAGCCTCCCCTAGAGCCTCACCTCGCATAGCGCGACAGTGGATCCCCATAGTGTGGCAGCCAGAGCTGCGGCAGAGGTGGCTGCTAACAGTGCCGCTGCGCTGCCGCTGCCGCCACCGGTGCCCGCTCGGCTGGCCGCTTGCACCGCCGCCGCGCAGGGAGCTGCACCCTGGGCCTGGCTAGCGGGAGCCGCACATCCTGCACATCAGTATCACCACCTCTTGATTTCAGAGCTCCGTAGCTGGGACCGCTTGGCAACTCACATGCCGCCCACCTGCAAAACCCCGGGCGATGGATGGGCCTATGCCTCGAGACAAGGCCGATAGAACCCTCGCCAATTGCAATAATTCCGCCATAGGTTCGCTAGCACGACTTCATACACCGAATGATCGGGAGAGATGTAATAGTGGGCTGTCTGCTGGCCAGTTGTGTCTGTGAGAGAGCGTAGATACAGGCTGGAGCACAGCGCTCGGGAAGCGGGCGGGAGAGTTGTGCGCCAATGCCGCCCGCATGCTTCGTTCCCGCTGTGCCACCCTGTGCCGCCCTGTTCCGACCGCACTTGACACGACAAACAACGATGCATTGATATGTTGCTGCAGCTCACCGCAATGCAGTTGGCTCACAACGCCAGCCCCCGCTGCCCTGCCGCTGCCCGCTGTTATTGCGGCACCACCGCCGCGGTTTCGGCGGCCACGGTAGCCACTGCCGCCGCTGCCAGCTGCTTCACCTCCTCCCGTGCCAGGCTGGCGACGACCTCCACCTCTTGCACACTGGTCTCTTTCCGGAGCACCAGGTTGTAGCTGTGCACGCTGGGGTCGGCTGCCGCCGAGACCGCCAGCTCGGCGCTGCCGTTGCCGCGCGCGGCGCCGCCTGCTGCTGTCACTGCCGCCCCGATGCTGGAGGCCTGGTCCTTGCTTGCCATGTAGACCTCAAGCTCCTGCGCTGCAGCGCGGCTCTGCAGCCGCACACCCAGCTCAGCCACCACTACGCCGGGGGCTGCCCGCAGCACCTCGCAGAACCGCAGCGCCTCCGGGAGGTCCCCCAGCACCGGCCGCTGGTCCAGACCGGCGCCGGCACCGCCGGCCGCTGGGCTCCCGTCGGCAGAGCCACCCGCTGCTGCCGCCGCAGCCGCGGCGGTTGAGGAGGTGACGAGGGAGTCGAGCGTCTCCAGGAGCGGGTTGGGCTTGGTCTTGCGGATGGAAAGGAAGACGCGGGCCTTAACTGCATCCACGTGGACCACCTTGGCCCTGACCTGCTGCCCGACCTGCAGGTCGCGGCACCAGCGGCGGCGCAGCACAGCTCAGCGTGGGACAGACCGCAGATTCTTGGAGGACAGCGCAGGCGAGTTGGCAAGACCTGAAGTGGCCGCGCCTGGCGCAGGCAGCTACGTGAGCTGTTGTGGGGGATGGCGGTACGGTTAGGCGACCGCACCTGTACCACCTGCATGATGTCTGCCGAAGGGTCCCACGTCACCTCGCCTCGGTGCACAAGGCCCACCAGCGGCGTGCCACCCGGCGCAGCCGGCTGCTCCTCGCCGCTGCCGCTGCTGCTGCCGCCATCGGCCGTGCCTGCTGCTGCTGCTGCTGCTGCTGCTGCTGCATGCGTGACATTCACCAGAAACTCGACAAAGCAGCCAAAGGGCTTGACACTGACGACTGCAGCAGAACAGGGAGACGGAGGGAAAGGAGACAAGAGCATGGGTCAAGCGCGTGTGGAAGGGGAGCGCAGCGTGACCCCGGTGCACCACCTGGGAGAAGAAGCCAAGATAGGAGCGTGCAAGCAGCAGCATGGCTGCTCCAGCGCGCACCCGTGGCATCCACTGTTTGCCCCAGCAGAGCGGCGGCCGCCTGCAGCTGCTGCAGCGTGGGCGGCTTGCGCACAAACTTCTCCTTCCTAGACAGTGTTGCACGCTCTGAAAGGAGGCAGGTGGGCAGGGGCAGGTACGACGAAGCTCAAGAAAGTCTGCAGAAGTAGAAGCGCATTTCAGGGCAAGGCGCTGCACCAGGTTGGGCCCCCAAGCACAATTGATGCACATCACACACACAAAAAACCGACAGCGTCGCCCACCCGACAGGACCACCCTGCCGCTCTGCTCGTCAACATTCACCACACGGGCAGTGACTTGGCGCCCCGTCATCACAGCCGCAAGCGCCTGCTTTCTGAATGCGGAGCGCACGGCTGGGTCCAGCGCGGGGGCGGATGCTGGGGCGGCCGCCTGTCCTGCCTCCTGCTGCGCCACAATCGCCGCCGCAGACACCGCCGCCAGCAGCATCTGCTCCTCGCGGAGCACCTGGCTCACCAGCTCCGGCGCCAGCTGCGACATCGGCACAAACCCTGCACCACAAGCAGCAGCGGTGGCACCAAGGTTGGCGGCAGGACGCGGTGGGTGGGCCAGGGAGCTTGGGCTGCTTGTGGCCAGCTTCGAGGAGCAAACATAGCACCAGCGAGCAGCAGCAAGGCAAGCTGCCCATCAGGCTTCCAAAACAGGGCCACCAACACATCCCACCTGACAGACGTTCATTGCGCACCAGCACCCCCGCGGCGTTGGCCTGCCACACCGTCAGCGTCTCATCACTGCGTTCAAGCAGCAGAGCAGCACCGCGCTCTGCGTTGCGAGCCCGCCGCTCAGCCTGCATCATGTTAAAGCTGGGGCGCGGCTCGGTCTGAGCTGCTGCCGCTTTCTGCAGCTGCCGGGGCGGCGGCTGGGGCCGGGCAGGGGCTTCCTGCTGTGAGCGTGTCTCTGCCTCCGCTGCTGCTGCCGCTGCGGCTGCTGCTGTTATTGCTGGCTGCGGCTGGGCAGGCGCGGGAGCAGCCTCAGCCGCTGATGCTGCCTGCTCCACCTCTGCCGTCTCTGCTTCTGCCACAGCCTCGGCGATTGCTGCTGCTGGCTGGGGCTGAGGTTTGGGCATTGGCTTGGGAACTGCTGCTGGCGAGGGCAGTGCAGGCTTGGCTGCACGCTTGGCTGGCGCCTTAAACTTGGGGGCTGCCGCGGCGGGAACAGCAGCCTTGCCCTCGGCTGCTGTAACTGTAGCTGGATTGACGGCTGGCTTGGCCGCCAGCGGCGGCGGCGCCATGGGCTCGGGGGCTACTGCTGCTGGCGGTGACGCAGGCGCGGGGCGAGCAACTGGCTTGCTGGGCTTGGCTGCCAGCGTCGGCGCCTGAGGCTTAGGAGGCGGCAGCGGGCGCTGCGCCGCGTCCCGTGCTGCGGAGCTGGCTTGTGGCTTGGACTTGAGGGACACGGGCACCACACGAGGCACCGGCCGTCCGGGGCGTGCAGGCGGCTTGCTTAGGTTGAGCTGCACCCTGCCGCTGGCCGCAGGTGGAGGCTGCTCCGTGGGAATGTCTGGGAACGCGCCCTGCAGCTGCTTGACCGACACCAGGCTGCCCCTGGCACTAGTGCTAAACGCGCCGCTGCTGCTGCTGCTTCTCTTCTTTTGCTTGACCGCCTTGCTGCCGCCCGCCGCCGCCGCCGTGCCGTCCAGGGCCTGCCCAAACTGGCTGTAAGCTGCAGCCCGATCATCAGCCTCAGCCGCCTCGAACGCTTCCACCTCCTCCCAGGCGCTGTCAAAGTCAAAATCCTCATCGCCAGGCCGCTGCAGTTGGAGAGAAAGGGCGGAGACGGGGGGGCGGCGGCGTCAGAAGGCGGCGCGGTACGTCGGCAGGGACTGTACTCCAGCTCTGCCAGTCATGAGGCTCGGCGAGGCTGAGTTATCACCACACGCCCTCACGAGACCACACCCATCAGAGGCTCTGATCACTGCGCGCTAACATTGTGAGTTCAGATCACGCGCGCGCCGACGCGGGGAACCCCCAGGACAAGCAGCCGAGGCGGGGCCCGGCACAGAGCCCTCGCAGGCGCCGGGTGCAGCGCGACACAATGCCCACAACCAATATATTCTCCTCGCTCCTGGACTGTTTCTCGTGCTGCGGCCAGCAGCAGGACTCCAAGCATGACCAGTACCTGCAGCCGCTCAACCTGCTGCAGCCGCAGGTCCCGTCGGTCACAGGTGCGGCACGGGCGGCGGCGGTGGGGCGGCCCAACGCCCCGACGCAGCTGCGCGGGTGTCGGGCGGGGTCTACCTTTGTGCCTGGTGGATGCAGCAGCCTGCAGGGCATCCTCCCATGCTGTTCCCGCCCGACAGCCTGCCCGTCCGCCCTCGCAGTGGAGGAGCTGGTGGAGCAGAGCAGCACGGCGCGGGAGCGGGTGTGGCGCAGCCTCGGCAGCCTGGAGCCGTTTGCGCTTGGGCAGAGCCCCGCCAGCACCTCGGTGATGGCGGGGCCCAAGTGGCCCGCGGTGCGGCAAAACTTCCGGGTCATCCACCGGCCCAGCGGCAACGTCATGATTGTCAGCGACGGGCTCAGCGACCCTTTTGACGACATCCATGAGGGTGGGTGGGGCCCAGGGAGAGCTGGAAGCCTTTGTTGGCTAGGGGTGAGGCAGCAGAGGCAGCTGGCCCACCTGCCGCAGCCCCAGGCAGCCAAAATTGCGTTTGGTGCTGCCGCTGCGGCCTTGTGTGGCGCGCAGGCGAGAACAACGTCAACGGCTTTGGCCTGGAGTTCTTCATTGAGACGCCTGCCGAGGAGATTGGCAGCTCGCTGACCGACATCAAGAAGAGCTGGCAGTTTCAGCTGCTCTACACAGTCAGCCAGCTGGCGGCAGGTGCGGCGCGAGTAGTTTGGTTGCAGCAGCCTTTCTTCCCAGCCTTTCTTCCCAGCCAACCAACCATGCCACGGCTCCTGCCGTTGCGTCTGACTCAGGCAACTGGCTAGATGTGTCTGTGTCAGCCACTGCCTGCTGCGCCCTTGTGGCCTGATGCAGGGCACGGCGGCATCTCCAATATCATTGAGGACATGCAGCTGCTGTCCACAGAGGCGGAGGGGGTGAACGAGGCTATCCCAGAGGAGAGGCGCAAGGCGCTGGTGAACCGCGCCGGGCGCTTGGGCGCGCTGCTGGGCCTCACAGACACGCGGGCAGGCGCACCAGACTGTGAGCGCCGCCGCAGGGCCGGGGAGGCGGCTCGGCCTGCTGCCTGTTGTTGGCCAGCTGGGTGGGCAGATGTCATGCCAGTTGCCCAGGGATAGAGCGTCGCGGCAGTCCCTGCGGGCCGGTTTCAACCACTGCTTGCCTCGCTGCCTGCCAAACATCCCTGCCCCGTCCTGCCCCGCCGCGCCTGCCTGCGCAGTCGTGCCGGAGCGGATAGAGGGCATGCCGCTGACGGAGGTGCGCTTTGTGAACATCAAGCTCATCACGCTGGCAGAGCTCAAGCTGATCACAGACCGCGGCGCGGAGGGGCGCCGCAAGCTGTCGGAGCTGCTGGAGGGCGAGGCGCGCCTTGTCAGCTCCGTGCAACGAGAGTCGGTGCTCTAGGTGCACAGCCGGGTTGCTGCATGCGCTGGGCTGCGCTGGATGGGCAGCGTGCCCGCTGCCTAGCTAGCCGCGAAGCGCTGGGGGCAAGCCATCTCTACAGCCCCTGCCTAGCACGCCCGGGGCGACGCAACACACTTGTTCCCTCCTTGTTTTTGGGGTGCGCTGCCTGCTGCATCACCCAATCCACCGCCTCCGCTGCTCGCTTTGCCTAGTCATCTATTTGTTTTTGGAAGCACTCCAAGAGTAACCCCCCTTCTCCAAGGCAGCAGAAGTAGCAGCAGCAGTGCCAGGTGTGGTGGCTGCTCACCTCCAGTGCAGCAGGCCGCGTCGGCTTGGCGCCCAGGCCTGCCGGCATGGATGGCTTGTGTGGCACCAAGTTGAGGCTGCCTGGCCCACGCTGCCCCGCAGCCTGGCCTGCAGTGGCGCCCAGGGAGGTGAGTGCCAGCAGCAACAGCGGTGCTGGCTGCCGGGCAAGCATGGGCCGATTCAGGCAATCCTGATTAAGGCAGGTGCCCAGGCCATCCGCCCGCCCTGCCCAAAGTCGACGCGCCGTCCCTACCGTACCTGCAGCGGGGGCCTGTGCCCTGCCCACGCCTGGGAGCGCCCCTCCAGCCTGCGCTCGCTTGTCTAGCAGCCGCTCATAGTCTGCCCGCACTTGCGCCCTGAGACGCTCCGCGTCGACCGCCGCCCCCTGGACATTCTTGTTCCGCTGCAGCTTCTTGGCGGCTGCCGAGGTGCCAACGGGGCGTGCATCCATTGCCGACAGAACCGCCTCAAACATGGCATACTGCTCCAACTCCTCCTCCTCCCATGCCTGTGGGGGCAAGGGAAGGCATAGGGGGGCACGTTCATGCCCACGCCATGCTGCCTCTGAGGTGTGCCTGCATGCAGCACACGCCATGCAGAGGCGGGAGCCCACTGCAAGCCCGCACCCACACACCGACCTGCAAGAATTGCTGGCTCTCCTCATCGACCCGCACTTGAACGCCGGCCGCATCCAGCTGCTGCTGCACCTGCTCCGGCGACTCGCCCATTAGGCGGCCGAACTGCAGGTACTGAGACAAGCTGGGAGCTGCACCCTCCCCACTGCCGCCGCCACTGCTTCTGGGCGGCTTGACGGCAGGGCTGCTGCTGCTGCCGCTGCTGCTGCCACTGCCGCTGCTGCTGCCGCTGCCGCTGCCAGCACCGCTGCCGCCAGCATCCAGGCCAAGCATGTCCTCCAGGCCTGGCAGCCGTGCACGTCCGCTGCCGTACTCCTGCAGATTGCATGGTGCCAGCAGCTGAGTCAGTGACAGCGTGCAGGCACACTGCAAGGAGGGAGTGCAGAGCAGCTGGCATAGGCGGCGGGTTCGCGGCAGCGGCGGCTGCCACTGATGCAACCCCCGCCACAGCGCCGACTCACAGGTCCAGCCTTGCCCTTTCCCTTTTTCGCCGAGGTAACTATCCTGCACCGCCTGGCCAGCCGAGCGTGCGCGGCATGTGGTGAACCATGTCCCGCCAGCCCGTGCAGCGCACAGGGCAGCATCATGCTCGCTGGTGGATCAGCGATGCAGTGGAGTCGAGTGCAGCGGTGATGGGAGTTTGGGCAAGTCTCTGGGCAGGCGTTCTAGACTGGCACTGGCCCAGGCATCAATGACACGGTCAATCATATACACTTGTCGTCTTGTTGCAATCCAGACATAGATGATAGAAACCACCAGACAGCTCAGCAATTGCATCCCACACCCTCTCTCGTACGCAACGCAGCGCCATTCCGTGGCTTGCTGCTTCCTCCCCCAGTCGTATTGGACACCATTCTGCCTCTGCAGCAGCCCTTCACGAGTAGGGCTACGTGGTCCCTCCCTGCACACCGCGCAACCCGTGCTGCAAGAGCCACCAGGAGTAGCAGAACGGCCTCCATGTCGCTGGAAGATGGCAGCGGCTCGTTGTCCAGCCCTGGCCTCTTGTCCAGCCCTGGCCTGGGCAAGGATGGCGGCGGCAGCGGCAGTGGCTTGGAAACGGCAGTGTCCGGCGGGTTCCACGACGCGAAGAGCAACAACCTCCACAGGATGGCCCAGAAAATAGCTAGACACTTCCCACAGGTTGCTGACGCCGCTACCAGAATGTGGCGGAAACCTGCCACCACCGCCTGGCAGGGCACTCTGCCGCCGCTGCCCCGACTGCCTGCCCTGAGCCGCTCCTTCTCTGCCGTCCCCCAGGTGCCGTCCATCAACTGCACCGAGCTGAAGCGTGCAATGAACGAGCCCATGCTGAAAAAGACAATGGTGGTGCTGGACGTGCGGAAACCGGAAGAGGTTTGTTTTGGTGCTCTCTTTAGTCTGCTTTGCAGCGCGGCACTATCGCTCGCAACAAGCCTGTTGATGCTGGCTGGCCAATCTATTGATGCCGCTGTCGCCCTTTTCAGCTGAACGTCTGTTTGTGTCGCGGCATGTGCAGGTGCAGGTCAGCATGATTCCTGGCTCCATCACGGTAGATGAGTTTGAAAAACAGAAGGGCGAGCTCAAGAACAAGACGGTGGTGTGCTACTGCACAGTGGGCTACCGCAGCAGCGCGCACGCGGCCAAGCTGAAGGCGCAGGGGTATGACGCCAAGAACCTGGAGGGCGGCATTGTGCGCTGGGTGAGCGAGCTTGCTGCGTACTGCTCCTTGGCTGCCCTCCGCTTGTCTGGCCCTTTCCACAGCGAGCAGGCTGCCTTGACCTGGAGCCTGGCCCTGGCCCTGCCTGCTTGTATGCTGCCACCCCTGCAGGCGCAGAAGCGGTATCCGCTGATCGCTCGCAGCAGCGGCGAGGAGACCAAGCGGATCCATGTGTACGGCAAGGATTGGGCGCTGCAGCCAGGTGCGGTAGCTGCCCCAGCTGCTGGACTAGGGCTGCATTGTGCAGAGCCCGGGTTGCCTGCATCCCATCTCACCACTGATCCCCCGTCGGTTGCTGCTGCAGATGACTATGAGGCGGTGATGTTCAATTCGCCGATCGTGGCCAGTGTGCGCTCTCTGCTGCCACGCTGGCTGGGTGGCAGTTAGAAGCGTAGACGCGATGTTAGATGCGATGTGAGCCGCCGCCCAGCCTGTGTGACTGAGCACAGTGTCGCCCCATCAACACTACCAATAGCTGGCGCGCAAAGAAACTTCCCACAGGGCCCTGTACTGTCCTCCCACAAACCACCCGGGCACGCCCCAAGGGGCGTTCACATGCCTGTGTCATTATCTCAATGGATGCAGCTCAACCCATTTTTTCTCGAATTGATGCCCCCCCCAGCACTTCAGCACTACCGACGAGCCCCCATGATTTCTCTCTCGCTTAGAACCCAATACTTACAAGACCAAGCGTTCCTGATCAAGCTTCTTTGAGCAAGGCTCAATTCCAGCCTTCATTCTTCAGCCGCCGGCAACTTGTGCATTCATTGTATTCTGTGCGCCTCCCTGTGTGTTGCCTGCAGTGCTCGCTCGAGCCCTAACTTTCATTCCCCTTGCACAAAGTGCTATGTGTAATTGCATTCACGATGCCTAAACATCAGAGGAGTGGAACGGTGCGCTTCGCCGCTGCAGCGCCCGTGATGAGCTGGCGCTGATCATGATGAAGGCTGAGGTGCAGGCCCATATAGTGCATTAAACCTCTTTGCTCTGCTTGTTTAGGTCCTCTGAAGCCACCTGTTGCCCTATATAGCCACAGCCACACCTCCCAACACTGGCAGCAAGTCGGTGTGGTAGCAGCAGTGTGCAGCATGCGGTTACAAGCTGCCGCCAGCCTGAGGTCCGCCCCAGGCGCTGGCCGGCTGAGGCCATTCACCAGGCGAGGCAGACCCAGCCGGCACGCATTTGCCGTCCGAGCAGCAGCGGTGAGGGCGCACACAGTTGTGTGCTGGATGTGCTTGCCGGAGAGGGCAGCGAGAGGCGGCATGGCCGCCAATGCGGCGGCACCGTCTGCTGCTGCCGCCGTGGTGTGGCGTGGGCGCTCAATAGCAGCTCCCGCGAGCTGCCCCTGCTGACGTGTGCTGCAGGATCAATACGTGCTGGCCAAGCTGGAGGAGACGGAGAAGTCATTCAAGGAGCTGCAGGTGCGCCCCTGCCCCTCCTGGCACGGCACGGGAGTTTCTGTTTACTGAGCTGGCGCATGCACGAGGCCGTTCCATGGCCCATGGGCCATCCATGGCCCATGGGCCATGCATGCATGCGCATGCATCATCCTGCCCTTGCTGCAGGTGTGTCCCCCTGCTGCCGCCTGCCACATTCGCTCGCTGCCTGGAAACCCGCCGCCGCCCTTGCCTGCTGGCTCACCACGCCCGCCCCTGCCTGCTGCCCATGCTCCCCGCCCCGGGCAGGAGCGCATGGCCGACCCCGAGGTCAGCGGCAACAACACAGGGTACCAGAAGCTGGTGCGTGCTGTGTCAGACATCCAGGACGCGGTGGACGGGTACACGGCATACAAGGACCTGGAGCGCCAGCTGGCAGACGCCAAGGAGCTGCTCAAGGAGTCGGAGGGTGAGAGGGGGGCATGGCAGTGCTAGGCTGGGGGGGGCATAATGTTGAGGGGGCATGCGGAGGGCGCGCTGGTGTGTTTAAGAGCATCCAGGGAGCGAGCGCATAATGGTGGGGATGTGGCATGTGTGCTGGTGTATGCGACAGCGGGAAGGGGTGTACCTGGGTAAGCAGGGGCAGCGCCAGCCAGCCGAGCACTCTAACCAGCACGCAGCCACACCCTGCCTTGCCCACGCCCGTCGCTAAGCTCCCTCCCGTCTCACATGCACCCCTGACTGACTGAAAGGCACGCGCGCACCCTGTCCGCGCTGCAGGCGACCCCGAGATGGCTGAGCTGGCGCGGGAGGAGATGGAGGCTCTGCAGGCGGCCATCGAGCAGCAGGGGGAGCGGCTCAAGTACCTGCTGCTGCCCAAGGACCCGCTGGACGAAAAGAACATCATGCTGGAGGTGCGCCGCGCTGTGCACGCTGCGCTGTGCACGCTGCACCGTGCTGTGAAACTCGACGCCGTGCTCTGCTGCATTGCTGCACTGCGTCGTGGCGGCTGCTCCCGCCCGCAGCTGCCCCCGCTCGCCCCATCCCCTGGCGCCTGGCCCTGGCCGCATCGCAGGTGCGGGCTGGTACGGGTGGCGAGGAGGCGGCGCTGTGGGCGGCGGACCTGATCCGAATGTACCAAAAGTATGCAGACACGCAGGGGTGGAAGGTGTCCCTTATGAGCGAGTCCTCTGCAGAGGCGGGCGGCTACAAGGAGTGCGTGCTGCAGATCACGGGGGACAGGCAAGTGGGCCCAGGGCTGCCGCCGGCCGGCGAGGTCGCCTCCGCTGCCTTGTGGGCGCCGTGGAGTTGCTGCTGCCGCCGCTGGGCGCGTCTGGGCGCGGCACGTCGCTCGGCGCTTGGCTGCACGCGCCGCTGGTGGCACCATCCGACCGTACCGTTACCGTACATCCTGTACCGCCCGTACCGCCCCTGCAGCGTGTACAGCAAGCTGAAGTACGAGTCGGGGGTGCACCGCGTGCAGCGCGTGCCCGCCACCGAGACCAGCGGCCGCGTGCACACCTCCACCGCCACAGTGGCCATCATGCCTGAGGTGGACGACGTGGCTGTCAAGATTGACCCCAAGGTGGGCTCGCTGCTGGGGTGGCTGCGGGGCTCGCAAGTAGCAACACCTAGGGGGGCCGGCACGAGGCGGCATGCTGGGTGGTGGGCTGGTTTGTTGCGTCTTTACTCTTACTCTCGCCTGCGCATGCGTGCTCATCCTACGCCACCAACCGGCCATCGCATGCCGCCCCGCAGGACATCGCATTGACCACGGCGCGGGCGGGCGGCGCGGGCGGCCAGAATGTGAACAAGGTGGAGACTGCGGTGGACCTGATGCACAAGCCCACCGGCATCCGCATCTTTTGCCAGGTCGGCGCCATGCTGAGCTGGGCAGCATGCAGACTGGGCTGCATGGGGCATGGCATGAGCTTCACGGCATGAGCTCCCGGCTGCGTGCGCTGTTGTTCCCTGCGCCTTCCAACCTGACCCTCATGGTGGTGCCGATGGGCTGCCGTGCAGGAGGAGCGCACGCAAGGGCGCAATCGAGAGCGGGCCATGGCGCTGCTGCGGGCCAAGCTGTTTGAGCTTGAGCTGGAGAAGCAGCGCAGGTGGGCTGGTTTGTACTGGCCGGGGCCGCTGGTGGTGGAGCAGCGACGGGAGCGGCCTGTGCCTGCGGTGGGCACTGTGGTGTTCTGCTGGCAGCGCCTGTCCTGTCGCCACAGCCTGCTCAGCGCAGCGCCAGGGCTTCCCCCCCTCGTGGCCTGCAGCGAGATCTCGGCGCGGCGGAAGAGCCAGGTGGGGACGGGCAGCCGGTCTGAGAAGATCAAGACCTACAACTACAAGGATACACGCATGAGCGGTGAGGGGCGCGGGGCCCGTGCGCTCAGCTCCTCGTCCGGTGTGCTGCTGCTGCTGCTGGTGGTGGCGGCGAATGGCCGTTTGTGGTTGGGCTCCCCACCCACATGGGCGCGACCCGCTGCACCGCCTCAATACTGTCCCCAATATCTCAATCCCCCCCTCTAACGCCCCGCCGCCTGGCGTCCTGCGCTGCGCCCGCAGACCACCGCTCCAAGATCAACTACGACCTGAACAAGGTGATGGAGGGGGCGCTGGATGAGTGCATCCAGACCATGGTGATGCTGGACCAGCAGGAGATGCTCAGGGACCTGCTGGAGACAGCTTGAGAGCGCGGCAGGCGGGCTCCCAGCGGCCTACGCGGCTGGTCAAGTGCGGCCAGCCGCCCGCTGCTCCCAGTTTAACCTCAATTGACATTTCATGTATTGCTCGGCGCTTCTGCTGTTTGCTGCTGTGCTGTTTGTTTCATCTGCTCAAATAATCAACAAGCAAAACAGGAAAGAGCGGTACAGAAAACTTTGGGCGGAGAGCATTGACTTTGGGCGGAGAGCATGGGAAAACTGTTTCAGGGAGAACAACTGGGGTGGGCAAGCAGAGGGGTGCATTTAAAAAAGCAAAAGCAGGATCCAAAAAAGACCATATATAGTACAGTGTGTGTCTCTCATCTCATCAGGCAAAACACTCGATCAAAAAAAACAAAACAGGGGGATCATATCTGAATGGTACTGGCGGTCACCTGAAAACTTGGAATGCTGAGTGTTTGGGGGTTGATTGCTCGATGTGCCGGGAATGCATGCAGCTAGATCGCGTCCCTGAACGCATGCCCAGGACTTGCAGCAGCAGAGGCAGCCGTGGTGGGGCCTGCCTAGTCCTGCTCCTCTTCCTCGCTAGCCAGCAGCTCAATGGCCTCCTGTAGCGACGCGGTGGTCTCCGCAAGCTGCACGCGCCAACAGGCACACCGGGACGGCAGGAGATGAGCGGGCTGAACTGGGCCAGCAGGCTCCGCAGAGCTGGCAACTGACACAGTGCCACGGATGCTGCCATTGCTGCCTGCCGGTCCCCTTGTTTTGCAGCAACGCAACACAGCTGTCGCTGGGCCCAGCAACATGGCTGCCCCTGCCCTTGTTCAGCCCCGCACTGACCTGCTCCTTCAGCATGGAATTGATCGTCTCCGCCTCCACCAGCCGAGCCTTGTCCAGCGCATGCTCCGTCTCCACCTCAGCCAGCTTCACCTGCTTGGCCAGCAGCTGCGACTGGTAGCGCAGAGCCTCCATGCGCGCCTCGCGCGTCTCCTGCAGCAACCAACAAAACAGGAGGCAGTGACGAGACAGGGGCGCAGCTGAGCGACGCGGCAGGTGGTTGTCAGGCACGCGGTGCGCAGACGCGCCTGCGGTTTGCCCCTCCCTCCACCTTGATGCCCCCCACGCACCACCACCACCACCGCCGCCGGCATCTGCAAAAGCGCCTCACCTCTTGCGCCCCCACCACCTCCATGCGCGCGAGACGCAGGTCCTGCCGCATCATGGCTAGCTGCTGGAACATGTCAGCTGCCCAGGCCTGGAGCCGCGTCTCGCGGTTGACAGGCCACGCCAGGCCCACCTCCCCCTCGGAGACCACCTGCCCGCCCGAAGAGTCGCCGGCCCTGCCAGCCGGGGGGCGGCGGCGGGAGGCCAGATCAGGCATCACAAACATCAAGAGCGCTGGGCACCGCTGGCGTGGCATGTAAGGCAGAGCACAGAGCACCACGCACTGTACAACACCGCCGGCAATGACCTGGCCACCAGCCTCATGCTCCATATGCTCCAGCCCAGTCCAGTGCTACCCATCTGATTCCCCGCTCCACTCACCACGTGTCCTGCACCTCCAGCCGCTGGTCGTTCATGCGGATGGCCAGCACTCCGTTGTTGCCCGCCTGCAGCGCCAGCACGTTGCCGCTCGAGTCCAGCAGGGCGTACTTGTACTCGGTGATGCTGCCTGCGGTACAGAAAGGCGGTGCCACACCGAGTGAGCAAAAACCGTCAGGTAGCGCATGCAACGTGCAGCAGCACGGAAGGCACGCGTTGTGGCATTGCGCCAGCCTGGATGGCTGGGCGCCTTGTGGTATGCAGGCTGTCACCATCCACATCCCACCCACCTGCCGGCAGCTTGATCGTGGCCTGCCAGATGTTGCCCTTGCACAGCTGCAGCTCCGGCGCGTCGTGCAGCGACCACATCCCTGCACGCCATGGCAGTGCGGAGAGGGCAGCCGGGTGTGGTGATGAGCGCTCCACGGGGCGCTGGCCTGGCAGCAGCCAGGCAGAGCGCAGCAGGCAGCACACTGCCAAGCAGGCACACGTGGCTCACCTAGGCTCTTGTGCCCTCCCACCAGCTTGACCCGCTGCCCCGGCTCTGCAGCGTGCTTAAGGCGGAAGGCAACGCCAACCTTCCTGCGGTGCGCTATGGCGCCGTGGTACGCCGCCAGCGCCATGGCGGCCTCTGGGCTGGTGACGGCAGACAGCCCCGCCTGCTGGCGGCCGTCGTCCTCCTCATCCGGGCTGCTGGCAGAGGTGGAAGTGCTGCTGCTGCTGCTGCTGCTGCTCGTGCTGCTGGGAGCGGCCGCCGCGGGCGCGGCAGCTGACGCGGGCGGCGGCACGGCAGCTGGGGCAGCGGCGGTGGCGCTGATGCTGCTGCTTGCGGCTGGTGGCTGTGTGGCGGCGTCCATGTCTCCCCAGCTGTCGCCGCTGGCGCTGCCGTTGAGCTGCCCCAGCTGGCGCTTAAGCTGCTGCTGGGCCTTGTTGCGCTGGACCATCTGCTCAAGCGGCACGCCTGCCAGCAGGTCACTGGCATTAGCCTTCATGGGCCCTGTCGAGCCACTGGCCAGCCCACTCGCCGATGCATGGTGGCCTTGCTGCACTGGGGGTTGCAGGTGCTGCTCCGGGGGTGGCAGGTGCTGGGCCATGGGTGGCTGGTGCTGCCTCATGGGTGGCTGGTGCTGCACCGGGGACGCCTGGTGCTGCTCCGGGGGCGGCTGGTGCTGCATCGGGGGCGCCTGGTGCTGCGCCACGGGCGGCTGCTGGTGCTGCGCCAAGGGCGGCTGTTGGTGCATCGGGGCATGCTGCTCCTGCTGGGCTGCCTGCGGCCGCGGGGCTGCATCAGCGACCGCCTGGGCTGGCTGCTGCTCCTGCGCTGCATTCTGCTGCTCTGGGGCAGGCTTGTCCGGCTGCTGGGGCACAAACAGCTTCACAAGCCAGTCGAAACCAGTTTGCTGTTGTGTGGCGTCTCGGCTCCGCGTCGCGGCGGCCCCAACGGCGCGCGTGCCCCGCTGCACACGGGCGTGCGCAGTTCCCTGCCAGCCGTCTCTGCGCGCTTTCAGCCCTGCATGGATTCATGCAAAGGGTATCAGTTATTTAGGCGGCAGGCGGAGCCTCCAGTGGGCGGCGCAAGAAGAGGAGGAGGAGCGGAGCGGCGGGAGAGCGACACCAGCACCGCCGCCCAATGACCTGCGTGTTTTTGTGCTGGCGCCCCCGCCGCCGCTGCTCTGGCTGCTTCCCGATCCCCGGGTGTATGCACATGACAGCTGAGCGGCCGAGCGGACATGCAGGCCCCGGGAGGAGCAAGTCAAGTCAAGCGTGGGCGTGTGAGGCCCCCTTTTCCCGCTGCCCTAAGCTCGGTGGACACAATGGACAATCTCTAGCCTAGGAAACAACGCCCCATTGATGCAGGAGTGCCCAGACCACCCTTGGCCAGTGTGCTGTGCTTCGGGTGGTGCTGCGATCCGCCTCGCCAACTGTTTTGCGTTTGCATTTTGCAGCATTGCCTATCGCCTGACGACACCGGGCAGGTGTTCTTTTTAGAGGCCCGAGCCCCACACTGGTGGTGCAGCTGGAGTGGCATGTTGGGCATGGAGGACGAGCCCTGCCTTCTGCTGCTTGCTCTGTGCCTGTCCCTCGCTTTCATCTTCGAGATGCATGAAGAAGCGCCAAGATCGCATAGCTGCACAAGGGATGCTACTGGGCGCCACCGCCGCCGGCCCACCTGGAGCTGGCGGCCGCACATGGCGGCGTGGCCTGTTTGCCTGCCTGCCTACCTGTGCTGCTCCTCTAAATGAAAGCCTGACATCAGCTCCGAACTTTCCAACACGTCAGCACGCTTAAACAAGCTCGAGTGCACAGTCCAAGGGGCAGAATCCCAACCAGGGTGGCCTCAGCTCAATGTCGAAGCGAGAGTGGGCTGCTCTGCAGGAGAAGGGCATACACGAGGGGGACACCGTGAGAACAGCCTACAGAGGCGGCGTGAGGGAAGTGTGAGCAGCGCAATGTGCCGCCTGTGCAGCAGTTGGGCCGCCAGCGAGTGCCCTGGGCCGCGGGCGCGCCCACTCGCCTCCCGCCCCGCGTGCTGCACACCTGGTGCCCTACCTCCCCTTCCTGCCCCCTGCTCACACACAGCAAGGTGAAGGAGATAACGGATGAGCCCAAGGTGGTGTTCACGCGCACCCGCAAGGGGCAGGCCCCAAAGGAGGTAAGCATCGACGTTTGGGTCCTGTTCGTGCCTGCAACCGTCCAACAAGGAAAGTGTGCCCCTGTGCGTTTCCTTTAGGTGCGGCACAAACCATCCACGCTGGAGAAGGTGACTCCCGGCATGAGCGACGAGGAAAGCGAGGAGCTGGCCATCGCCAGGAGCTCAAAGAACCGAAGCCGAACGGCACGGGCCCAGCGCGCCGCAACTGCCAGGAAGAAGGAGCCCGCGGCCGCGCCCGAGCCCACAACGCCAGCCAAGAAGCCAGCCGAGAAGCCAGTCGCCAAGCAGACCCCATCCAAGGGCAAGGAGAAGGGCAAGGCGGGGGCGGTACAAGGCGACAGCGGCGGCAAGCGCCGATTCAGCAGGAGGCTGGCAGGAAAGGCTGCCGAGGCGGAGAAGCAGGAGATGCAGCGGGGACGTGGCGGGAAGAGGAAGACGCCTGCCGGCAAGGCCAAGGGTGGGCGGGCCAAGCGGGGCAAGACGTAGGGCGGGAGCTAGGATGAGGAGAGGCAGGCGGCAGCCATCCGTGGCTGCTGCTGGGACAACAGCGACAGCGACCTGTGCAGCGACAGCTGCTGCACGACCGACCTGGACCGACCTGACCTGATTATGGGCACACTGAGCAGCATACGGAACCTATTCATCCAGCCGGCAGTTGTTGACTTGACTCGACTTAATTGTGAGCTGCTGGCAGCATGTTGGCATACAAACGGGGTGGGATACGATGGCGGTGCATGATCTAAAAAAGCCAGCGCGAGCCTCACCACAACACCTAAGCCGTGCCAAGCAGTGCAGCCCAGGATTGGAGCCAGCGGGGATCAGATGGCGCCGGCCTCCTTGAGCCAGGCGGTATGGGTAGGGCATGGGTCGGGCTGGCCCGCCGCCTGCGCCTGCTGGCTCAGGCCGTAGAAGTAACCGTTGCGCCACTGGAACTCCTTGACAGCGGTGGGGAAGTGCGCGACTGCAGCATGCAGGCGGGCCGACACACGGCCTTTTGTGTCGTGCGGCACCAGGAGTGTTGTGGCAGCTGGGTGCTATGCTGCCTGTGCTATGCTGCCGCATGGGCAAGCTGATTCAGCAGTGCAGGATCTTGCCCTGCGCTTCCAGCACACCCTAACCCGCACCTGATCGGGCGTAAGCCAGCAGCCGTTCCGGGACGCCGGAATCCAAGGTGATGCCCAGCGCCGCCGACCCCGCGGCTGCCAGCTGGCCAATCAGCTGCGACACCTCGCCGGTGTGCTACACAATCCCGGAAGGTCAGCAGGCATGGCATTCAGGCCTAGACAGACTGTCCACATGGCACGCTCCTCCTCAGGGATCCAAGCAGCGCCTGCATTACCACCACCACCACCACCACTACCGCCACCACCCACCACCCGCGCCAGGTGCGCACACACACACACACCTGCGACTCCACCTCGCCCACGGTGCAGCCGCCGTGGCGCGCGCCCACCAGCATGAAGGCGCAGATCCACACCAGCTTCTCCAGCATGCACTTGGCGAACTCGCCCTTGTCCAGCACCTGGGCGGCGGCAGCAGGCACGCATGCAGGTGCGGGTGCGTGGGAGGCGGCGGCGGCAGCAGGCACGCATGAAGGTGCGGTTGTGTGGGCGGCGGCAGCGGCGCTCGTCACAACAGCGCGGCACGCTCGGCCGCCCGCACCTTGCAGCTGAGGCCCGCAGAGTGCAGCCGCGCCGCCACGGCCGCCGCGTGGGGACCGTAGGCCGCGGTCAACCCCTCGGGGTTGACGTCTGTCTTGCCGTCGGTGGGAGGGTCACCCTTCTTGGCCACAGCAAAGTAGACAAGCACCTGCGGGCAGCAGGGGCGCAGTGGTGGGGGTGGATGGGTGTGGGTGGGCAGGACGTGGCAGCAGCTAACGGCAACCGTCATTCCCGCCGCTGGGGATCGCCCGGCCCATCATGTACCCCCCAGCAATCCGCGGCAAACGCAGACACATACCTGGGTAGTCTCCCCAAGCCCCCGCTCGTCCAGCCAGGGCTGCAGCATGCCGTTTTGAATCCAGACAAGGTCTGCAGGCGGGGCGGCAGGAGCATCAGCTGTTTTGCTCAGCGCCCGTGTTGGTGCCCTGGCGGCTTGGTGCAGTGCTGCACGCTGAGAGAATCAGCTGATATCAGGACCCTGGAAAGCTGCCCGGCCCCCCAGCGAAGCGCAGCAAGCCACTGAACGCCCCGCCTCCCTCGCCGCCTGCTTGCCTTGGCGCCGCTCCGCCGGCGTGGCATCCACGACCGCCTGAAGGTCGTCGTTGCGAGTGCACACCACGATGGGGCCTGGCGGGCCGCTCACCGCCTCGCCGCGCCGCACCAGCACGTCCTGGCCGGCGCCCATATCGGCCAGGGCCTGACCCACGCGGCCGCCCCCCACAATCACAAATGGCTGCAGGGGCGGGGGGTTCGTGCGCTGTGTGGGCCATGCACCCGGCCGTTCAGCTCAGTGGACCTGTAAGGTGAAGTCTGCAGGCTGCAGCATGGGGCTTGCGCCGCTGGCGTGCATTGTCCCACCTGCTGCGCCATGGTGGCTGGAGCGGTGGCGGCAGCGGCGGCCGGTGCCGACTCTGCACGGACAGTGGTAGGCTTGCGGCGGCGGGATGCGCAGCTGGTGGCGTGTTTGCGCTGGTCAGCGGGCACACCGGCGATCTGCACCCGACAGGAGCGAAATGCGGCAGCAAGGCTCCAGGAGGTAGGGGAGCAAGCTCGGGCTCCAGCAGCAGCACAGGCCATCGCTGCAAAGTGCCGCACTTTGTGCAATTGATTGGCAGGTCCAATTGGCGATGGTGGCGCGCTGTTTGGTGCCTGGCGAACCTGCCCAGCAGGCAAGCCACGCAGCAGGCGGGGCACGAATGGGTCTGTGGGCAAAACCGGAACCCCTGGGCTTCCCCAGGCATTCCGTGGAAGGTCTGGGGCACGAATGGTGGCCTCGGGTTCGAAAGGGCTTCGCAGTCTTGCAGGCAAGTTCTGGTGCAGGCACCGTGGCCGCTTCTGTGTGGCAGAGGAAGGAGGCGGTGGCGATACCGGCGCCTGAACAGCGCTGCCAGGCGGCAGGCTCGGAGGGTGGTGCTCGCCACCATCGCGCTGCCGCTGCCCTCGCCGTCGTTGTCCAGTGTGAACATTCAGCCCTGCCCTTTCCTGGGGCTTGCAGGCAATCTACTGGTGGGTGGCGTCCTCGCCGCTTTTGTGGCGGGCACGTACTGGAAGACCCTGCGCAACGTGAGCAGCGACGACCTGGAGCGGGAGCTGGAGCGGGAGATCGCCGAGGAGGAGAGGTGGGCCTCGCCTGCTGCTTCCCCGACGACACTCAGCGTTTGAGGATGAGCCTCTGCACGTAGCATAAGGACGCATGACACTCCATGCTGCTGTCCTGAAACTCTAAGCCATGCCTTCCTGCTCCCTCCTGCAGGCGCCAGGCCCGCGAGGCTGCCAAGCAGCAGCAGGCGCAGCACTAGCAACACTCCACATCTGTAGCCAGCAGCAAGTGGGCTTCAACCAATAGCATGGCCAAGTCACCAGCCAAGCAGGCGGGCGGGCGCGCGCGGAGCACAGTCAGGAAGACAGGGGCCGCGGCAGTTGCCAAGCCAGAGCCGCAGCGGCGGCCCGCGGCAGCTGCAGCCCCAGCTCCCGAGGAGGCGGCAGGCACCGGCAAGCCCAACCGCCCACCCACGCCATTTGAGGCTCGCCTGTATGCAGTGTGCAAGTGCATCCCGGCAGGGCGAGTCTCCACCTATGGGGCGCTGGCGGAAGTGCTGCATAGCGCTCCCCGTGCCTGCGGCCAGGTGCGGATTAAACAGCTGGTGCTGTGCCGTTTTTGGCATGGGCATGTGGGCCGTGCCCACATGAACAGCCGGAGAAGCCCTCCCATCACGTTTCCTCTGCCGTGCCGCCCTCCCCACTGCAGGCGCTGAGGCGCAACCCGTTTGCTCCCGCGGTGCCCTGCCACCGTGTGATCGCTGCCTCCCTGAACCTGGGAGGCTTCAACGGCAGCTGGGGCGCCGCCTGCGCCAGCGTGCAGAAGAAGCGGCGGCTGCTGGCGGAGGAGGGGGTGGCCTTTGACGATGCCGGCCGCCTGGACCGCAAGAGCAGCGGCGCTGTCATGACGGCGGCGGAGCTGAGGGCCGCTGCCGCCGGTGTGCTGTGAGGCACTAGACGCAGGGGCCCTGGCGGGCAGCAGGCAGCCGAGTTGAATCGTGCGCCTGGCATTGGTTCTGCCCTCCTGAGCTCGCTGAACATCTTTTCAGCTACCTGTATTCAGCAGAAAGAAAAGCATCGAGTTGGGACGTGCTGCGCAAGGGTGGCGGGCAGGTGGCGGCGGGTGGGCGGGTGGCACCCATTCCCGCATCCGTTATAAGAATTAATCATCAACTGAGTTCCATAGAGCCAGATAGGGCCTCTTACTGTTGGCAAACCCGAGGGAGGGGTTGGTGGCCTCATCTCGCTGACTGGGGCCAGCAGTACCCTGCCGTGCATCAGGGTAAGCCGTTCAGCCTCTGTGCGCTCGAGCAGCTGTTGTGATTGGTGGGGAGGGGCAAGCAGTGGCTGCTCTGGACTGGCCTTCTGCCGCGCTCGATGCCCTACCTGCAGACTACCGTAGCCCCACAAAAGGTTCGTGGGTAAGTAAGTCTCTCAGAGGGCTCCACGAACAGTTCAGAAAGTCAATTTGGAGGGCCCACGAATGCTCCGGAGGGAGTTTTCCCCGAGCCCAGAGCCAGCCTGGCAGTGTTTTCGCTCCTCTGAGCAGCCAGACCGCACTCCTTTCTGCTTTCTTACTGTCCAGTGCACAAAGGGAACACCTGGGAGCCTCGCCAGGGCGCCAGAAGGCACTTGCCTGCACCAGCAAGGGGTTTTGCCGGGCGGCCCACGAATGCCCAAAATTTCTCATTTTAGCCCTCCACGAACCCCAAATCGGTACAATTAAGTCATTCGTGGCGAGTTTCCACGAACCTTTTGTGGGGCTACGGTAGCTCACGCTGCTAGCAGTGTATGGGCACGCACCCCCGGCAAGTCTTACTCGTACCGCTGCTGTTGGACCGAGCCAGCATGTCAGACAGCGCGGCAGCCCCCGGCAGCCCCATGCCGACGGGCAGCCCGCCTATCGGCCGCCCGTCGGGGCAGGTCGACTTCTTGCCCACCCGCAACTCCATGAACATCCATGGCCTGTCACGGGGCTCCGCACTGTCGCGAGGCTCAGGAATCCCTGGCATGAAGCCGCACGGCTTGCAGCGGTCAGAGGCTATTGAGCGGCGGGCCAGCGTGGTGACGGCCACCTCGGCGGCCGACAGGGTGCGCCGCCATGCGTGCCCGCGTGGCTTGCAGTCTGCCATTGACCTGCATCGGAGCTTGATTCACGGGCCTGGCAGCCTGCTCGTGTTGCTGATTGCGCTGGCTGGGGGCGCTCGCCGGCATGCGGCATGCCTGTTGGGGCCCCCTCGCGATGACGCTTCCCCACCCACGCGCGCTGGCCTCGCTGCCACCCTTCGCCTCGCAGTTTTACGGCTTCAGCGCCACCGCCAGCCGCAAAGGCAACAGCGCGGTGCCGCGCGGCATCATCCACCCCAACTCCACATGGTACCAGGCCTGGTGGTACACCACAGTGCTGGTGGCAGCCATCACCGCCTTTTTGCAGCCATACTACATCGCCTTTGCGCCACCAGGCCTCTAGTGAGTGCCGGCTGGGCGGCGCAGCGCTCCTGGCTGCGGGCTCGCCGTCTTCGGCGCTGGGGCTGGCTGGCTGGCTGTGTGGCAGGCTGGGCCGCTGGATACATGGGTTGGCTGTTTGGCCGGCTGCGGCGCTGCGAGGGCCTCAAGACGCATGCACAAAAAGGGGGAGCCTGCCACCTTGCAAACCAGGCTGCTGCGCCCCACCTGTGCAGCCCCTACGACTCTGCCGGCTCGATTCTGGTGTACATCATGATGGTGGGTGGCGCACTGGCGGCAGTGCGCCATGCAGCCTGCTTGCTTGCCTGTTTGGGCAGCAAGCTGCGCTGCCAGTCTCTCGCCGGCTACATTCCCGCCCTGGCACTCCCCTCCGCCTCCTTTCTTACTGCATTCCTTCCACCCTGCACGCAGAGCCTCATCGCCGTGGACATCGTCATCAGCTTTCGAGTGGCGCACTACAAGGACAGCCAGCTGGTGACGGACAAGAAGGCGATCGCCGTGGACTACCTCAAGACCTACTTCTTCATCGACCTGCTGTCGGGTGGGCAGGGCGGGCTGGTGGGGGTGGAGCTGGTCTGGCTGGCTGGCTGGCTGGGCTGGCTGGCTGGGCATCATTCAACCTAAGGTGGCCTTGGCAGGAAGGTGCCCCTGGCAGACCATGCTGCTGCCTGCTTGCTGGCCGGCCGGCGCCCAGCCCATCCCACCGCCCCTGCCTGCCGTCCTTCTCCCCTGCCGCAGTGCTTCCGCTGGACGAGATTGGGCTGGCCATTGCGGGCCTCAACGGCCCCGACTGGGTCCACAACCCCACCCAGGCCTACTACCTCTCCCTGCTGCGCCTGGTGGCTCTGGTGCGTCCCGCACCGGTAGTGGCCGTGCTCGTGGTAGCGGTGTGTCCTCACCGAGAGCACCTGCTCACGCACGTATGCCACCTCAGGCTGGCTCTCTCCCAACCTGCCCCACACCCCACCCTGTCCCACACCCGGAGTGGCCCCACACGCGTGCTCCACTTGCCCCTGGCCGCAGCTGCGGTGCTACCGCCTCTTCTGGTTCTTCTCCGTCCTCACCTACTCCTTGGCGACCCCGCTCCTGCTGGTCACGCTGCTGCGCAACGTCCTGGTGCGTAGGCATAGGGCGCATGGTGTGGCGGGCGGGGTGCATTGCATGGCAGGCGGGTCACGCGGGGGAGATGAAGCTGTGGGGCGAGCCGCAGCACAGCTGCTCCCGCGCCTCCTGCCTGCCTCCCTTGCATCGGCCACAGCTCGCTTTCCAGGCACACACCTGCGCACATGCCACACTCTCTGCTCCTCCCCTTCTCCTCCTCCTCCTTCCCTGCCCAGATGACTTTCTACATCGTCAACTTTGAGGCCTGCCTGCTCTACTACCTGGCCAGGCAGGGAGGCTTCGGGGAGGGCACCTGGGTGGAGGCGCTGGGCGGCGACTGGTTTGCCGACGCGCCAGTGTCCTCGCAGTACATCTAGTGAGCGGGGCGGTAACATGTCCAGCAACCCTGTTCTGGGGCTGCGTGTGGGGAGGGGGCTGCAGAGGAGACAGCACTGGCCCTCTGCGTTCGCGGGGCCATGTGGGCCGGAGGAGGGGAGCAGGCGCCTAGGCATAGCTGCTTGGGTCCACGTCAATCCACTGCCGGCACGCGCTTTCTTTGCTTGCAGCTCCCTCTACTGGTCTACCATCACGCTCGCGACCGTGGGATATGGCGACATCCATGCCTGTGAGCCCCTGCCCCTTGAACTTGCAGTGTTTTCCACGCTCCTGCAGCATCCCCAGCCCTGCCTTGCGATGCCTATGTGTGTGTGCCCCGGTGTGCATGCTGCATTCTGCCGACGCTCTGCCACCTGTCGTGTGCCCGCCGCCGCCTGCAGATAGCGTCCTGGAGGCGGGCTTTGTTATTGTCATCGTCTTTTTCAATATGGTGAGCGGTGGCTTGGTGCTTGGAGCGATGAGGCGCTTGGTGTGGGTGATGCAGGCATGCCCGTTTTTTGCAATCCCACTGACCACTCGCTGGGTCCTTTGTCCTCTTCCCCTTCTTGGTGCAGTTCTACTTCGCATGTGAGTTGGAAAGAGCGGCAGTAGAGCTCTCTGATGGGAAGGGGCAAGCACGATCATGCATGCTGAGTCTGCCGTCCAGCCTGCTGGCATGGGGAGCGCTTGGGGGCACCTTGTGCTGCTCATCCTGCTTGCTGCGCATTGCAATTTACTGAACCCACCCGCCCTGCCTGCCGCCCCACAGACATCATCGGTAGCGTCACGCTGCTGGTCGTGAAGGGAGACGAACGGGCAGGGCAGGTGCGCCTACCTGCCTCCCAACATCCAGCTGGCCTGCACAGAAACGCCGGTCGTCTTGCAGAGCACATCTTCCGCCTCTCAGTCGTGACTGGCGCACCTCAGGCATCTCCTGCCGCTGCTCCCTCCCACCCCCGCTGACTGCCTGCAGTACCGCGAGCAGATGCAGCACCTGGCCTCGTACGCAGCCATGAACGACCTGCCCATGGCAAGCCCCGCTGGCGCTGCCAGCGCTGCCGCCACTGCTGCTTCGCCAGCTCACATGGCTGCCATGCAGGCGGCCTCCGCGTTGGAAGCTCGCGGCTGCCTCTTGCCGGTTCTCCGCCTTCCTTGCCACCGCGCTTTGCCTTCCCGCGCGCGATCACCAACCTGTCTTGCCCTGCCTGCTCCCCACACATCGGCACCGCAGGACCTGAAGGAAAGCATGATGAGCCACCTGAAGCTGCACTTCAACAACCACGACCGCAACGACGAGAAGGTGCTGGGCGCGTACCCGTCCACCATCCGCCGCCGCGTGCTGCGCTACCTGTACCTCGACGTGCTGCAGGGCAGCCTGCTGTTCGACGGCGCGCGGCAGCGCTTCCTGGACGCCGTGCTGGCGGCGGCGCGGGTGGAGGCCTACCTGCCAAATGTGAGTCAGGGGGTATGCACGCACATGCACAGCCACACGCGCAGGCGTACACGCACACGCGCACGCGCAGTCGCACACTTCCCATGCACCTGCCGCAATCCTGCGCTGGAGAGTTGCCTGTTGCCCCTCGCCGGCCTGCCCCCCAACCCCGACACGCTCCTCCCCATGCTCCCCCGCCGCGTGCCCGCAGGTGGAGCTGGTGAGCGAGGGCGACAGCGTGAACGAGCTGTTCATCGTGGTGTCGGGCCAGCTCTCCTCCTACCGCATGTCCTCTGTGGCCAATCACGAGGTGTGTGGGTGTGGTGGCTGGGCGGCTGGGTCGCGCGTGTGTGCATGCGTGTCCTGGGTGAGCGCTGCCTTGAGCGGGTGACAGCCTGCCCTGAGGGCACGAGCAGGGTGCGCCCTGGCTGCCAACACGGCGCACTGCTGCCATGCCCACCACGGCGCCTCCCGCCCGCCGCCGCTCACCCACACCACCCCACCCTCAACCCCTGCAGGACGTCGTGCTGGACATGACGGGCAACACCAGCGTGCACGGCGGGCGCACCCGCTTCCTGGGGGAGGGGGATGCCTTTGGCCACGTCGCTTTCTTCACGGGGGCAGAGCAGATGGAGGCGAGTGGGGGCCTTGGTGGCAGGTGGCGGAGCTGGGTGGTAGAAGCTGGAGTCGGCTGTGTGGATGGGGCAAGGAGGAGCAACTGATCGACAGTGCGACACCCGGTGCCGCTGGTGGCAGGCATCGTTGCCGCTGCGGTCTCCTGTTCCATCTTCCTCTCACTCCCCCTCCTCCCTCCCTTCCGCGCCTCCTTGCCTCCTCCCCGCTGCTGCAGACTGTGTCCACGCTGAGCGTGGCGCGCGTGCTGGCCATCCACCGCAACGAGT